TGGTGCTGTAGCAGTCATTTACAAGTCAATAAGCGCGTGAAACAAGGTGGGGAGCGAGGAATAGGAGAGAGGTGACATCAGGGCCCGATCAATACAGCTGAGCAGCTTCGCTACGACTGAGCCGCATTTTCGTCACGAAAGGCTCTCGGAGAGTACTCGGTATTGGCGAACACCGGATGGGCATATCAACAACCAGACTTGCTGGGATGATGGTAGAACCGGCTCTGGGCCCGAGGTCGGTTGACACGGCCGGTTCTTTTCTCCGGCAGCTGGGTTCTGCCTGATAGAAAACGGTAAGCCATCGGTAAGCCCAACAGCTGATGGTCGATGCGATGGTGGCTGTGGCTGACGCCCGGCGAGAAAGAAAAACGGGAATTCGGGTGCCAAGAGGGTCTGGGCTCTCGAAGGGGAGGAAAGAGAGGGGGGAAGGGAAGAGTTGCAAGTTGCAAGCGAGCCATTCATCAGCTGCCTTGGTTGACTTCAGCTCCTTCATCAGACGGAAAGTTCACAAGTGTTTTTGGTTCTTTGCTCCTGCCGCAATCCATCCCGCGAGCCACTCCTTCCTTTCCTGCGTGCCTGCCTAGAGGTGTCAAAGTCTCCGACCCGGAGCGGGGTTGTGTCTTCACACAATTTTACTGGAAGGTACATCTCTGTTTTACTCTTGCCTATCTGGGGATATGTTGCAGCATGATCTGATCTGGGAAGGCACAGCCAGACAGCTAGCTAGCTGCTGGAGGGAAAGAAGATGGTGGGATGGTTTCCAATAGAGGCTTTTTGTTTATTGGATTCTCGGTGTGAACCTGGAAGCCGGGATCCTGTTATTAATTACCAATGATTACTCTGTCAGTGTAGTAGAACTATCAATAGTCTTGAACTTTGTCGGTGGACTTGTTGAAAGACACGACGTTCTGGCCTGTCAGTTTCTCGGCACCGCAAATCTCGCACATCGATCTTGAAACGGTCTTTGGGCGGGGTGTCAGTGCCACCCCGGCCTATAGTTGTCCAGTAGGTGGCTGCTAATGGCTCCAAAATCCTTCGACGGCTTCTTTGCCTGGCCCGTGCCGGTTGGTCAGAAGCTCGGGCGTGGCTGGCAAGGATATGGGTGTGAAGGGCGCCAAGCGTGCCAAGCGGGAGTGTTCTCACGGCGAGAGGTCCACCGCGCGCATCAATTGCCAGTGCCCCGCTCCCGTCGGTTGAAATCTGATGAAAATTGAATTCGTTATTCGTAAAGTGTACTTTTCAAATTCAATCAACCAGGAATTGCATGTGTGTCTCGGTCTCTGTTTTCTCTGTTCTACAAGTTAACATTGCACAGATATACATGGTCACGTCACCATGCCTCATGCCTCATGCCTCATGCCTTCTCAGTAACAGGCTGACGATCACCGACATGGGCACATGGGCTGGCATCGGTGAACGTGGATTCGAATTCGGCACCCTCGGCGGCCAACCGAAGCACAAAGAGACGCTATCGGAGCAACAGCCGTAGTGTATAGTAGTGTATTTTTCCCCCTCGTCTGGCAGAAATGGTTCCGGATCAGGTACTGTTGTGGTTCTGCGGGCCAAGCACGACCTCATCAAAATCTTCCATCAATGAGACGACTCTCTAATCGAGCCGGCTTCCGGATGCCTGCCGACATGATTGGGCTCCCCTCCTCATCTATTCCGCATTCCGCATCCCCGAAGAACGAATTGCCTTGGACCAAAAACCAGTCCCGCTGCTGTGGATGGACGCTGTGCTTGGCGGTGTCCACTGCCTCGCCGACTCGTCCAAGCGGCACGTTGCATCGAGCCCCTCCCGTTACCGAGATCCAGCGCGGCCATGGCGCTTCACCAAACAGGGCTACGCTAGGAGGCTAGCAATTGCAGGTGAACGACATCAATTCTTGCTCTTTCTCTCTGTCTCACAGCCATGAGATCACGCACACCGGATCCCGACACGAGTACGAGCACATGGTGAGCGTGCTCTCCTCAAGCAAGACATGATCAACGAGTAAAAAAAGCATCTTGGTATCTGATTATCTCTGTCTCGAGATAGGGCCGAGACTTTTATTTAAGCTACACGTGTTTGACGCCAAAGTTACCCATCCCTGAGCCTCCGGGAGTTGCGCCGAAGATCATAATAAGCCTGGGTTATTACGCCCAGGATTCGAGAATGTCGAGACTGTCGTTACAGGTTACAGTACGGAATCCAGCAGAGGGGATGGTCTCCGCTCGCCGGCCGGCCGGCCGGCCGAACTGCCCACCAGCATGGAGCTAGTGTGGCTCTTCTCGGCCTTTGTATCCGTAGATACTGGTCCACACATATCGTACGGATTTGAAAGACCGACGAGGTCTCGAGCCTCAACAACTATAGCGGTGCCTGTCTTTCATGTCTCACCCGTAGCCAGTTGAGACTGGCCGTTGACCAGCCCTCCTGCTGGCGACTCGATTCCGATGCACATCATGCCACGGGGTAAGGAACCTGTCACGCCGCGTGGGCGAGACACAGAAAATCCTGAAGCTTCAGAGACATGGCGAAGCCGTGGATGGACTCCGACAGGTCTCCTGTTTGGAGCAAGGCCCACCCACTTGCGTCAGTTGCAGTTCATCTCATCAGGTTGTCAGCCCCGCCAGACAGCCATCTGTGTGATCCTTCTGCAATGACCGCAGCTTCGACGGCGCGGCACAACGGGTGAGGCGGTCATCCAGCGGGGAGCTGTGCATCCATCACGACACTCGACAACTGAATAATGGATTTTTACGCCACACGGGCACAGTTTTCTAGCATCCTGCACCACACAGACAGCAAAGACGCCAGAGACCCCAAGGCAACCGATTGGAAGCCGCTCCCTTCCCGTACGGCACAGGCTGCATCCTCTCTGACTTTGGTTCGGCTCACCTGGTCCCACATGCCGGGTTTTTTATTCCGTCTCGAGAAGAGACGAGAAAAATAGGGTGAAGCGTCTCAACGAGCATCATCGTCATGTCTGAGTGAAGCCCACCTACGTCACAAATGCTTGTTCGTCAACTCCCTTGCACCAGTTTCCGCCGCAACGCTGATCGCCCATCTGCCTGCTGCGTGCGCAAGGGACAGCGTGGCTTTCACGCTTTCCGGGCACAGTGGGATGGAAAAACGGGAATGTCAGTGATGTGCGGCACAGTACCTTATTTTCGCACGGTCATAGCCGGTTTGGTTGCTGTGTGTTGATAAAAGCGACCGGGGTTCACTGTGTCAGGGGCCGGGGTGTTTTGCTAGCGAGCCCCCCGTCTGTGGGCGTCTGAGAACAAGCTGTCAGCAGCGGGCACCAAAACCCGAGCAGGAATTGCTTTTTTGCCTCTCTGGAGCATCAGCAGCAGCACATGTCACTCGTGTCTTGGACAGATCCAGGGGTGGCTTGCGAGCTCTACGGAGACGTCAACTGCACCCCCAAGCACCAGTCAAAGGGCCGTGCTGCAGAGAAGGGCGGACCCTGGGTGGTCGAGTGGGCATACGGACGTACACTACTGTTGTATCGTTTGTTACCAAAGCATCATCACAGTACGGATTTTCAATACAGCACCACTTGGTCCCCTCCGGCCTTGTCCCTTCATCCCCTCCTCCGCTCCCCACCCCTGAAGGCTGTGTACTAGGGAGTATGGAGTCGGGACTACACTAGCACTAGGACTGGTGACATGGGATGATGATGGAGCATGGAACATGGCTATGGCTGGTTGAGATGCCCCGGCTTGTCATTGCTACCCAGCTACAACCCTCTTCTGCTCGGTCCTCTCAAATCACGCTTCGATACCGGACTTCTTCCTCCTTCTGACACCCTCTGCTCTCCCTTCGCCAGACGGCCTCTCCTTCGCTTTTCCCTTTCCAGACGAGAACTTCCTACAACAAAACACCACCCATCAGCCGTGTGTGCTGCATATCGGATCCTCATACCAGCGCCCTCCGCTTTGCCGCTGTCTCCGCCGCCTCCTGTTTACCCCCCATCTCTGCAGGCTTAGGCTCCCCAAGTGCGGTTGCGCCTGCTCTCAGCCGTTGCCCTCTCGCTCACCAGCTTGGTAGTTCCGGCGAACCAGACGTGGCCCGTAGCTGGGTGCGCATTTACACACACGCCCGCCCGGTCGCCTTTTGCCGGTTCCCCAGCAAGACCTCACTTACAGGCCGCAGGCTGGAGAGTCACGGCTTCTACTAATACGACCGCCTTTTAACACATGGTCGCATTGCGGCCGTCTCGGGACCAAACGGCGCAGCTTTCTAACCCAATTGCTACTCTTGCTCGCCCTCACACTGCTCTCTCTCACTCGCCTTCCTCCACCATAGGATCCCGAGAGAAGAGAGAGAAACAAGAGAGGCTGCGGAACAAGGGGCAGGGCCTGACTGCTACGGAAAAGCATTGGACGGCAACCGCAACCGCAACCTCAACTGCGCCAGCTACAGGCCGCACCAAGACTTTGCGGATCAGAAAACGGCACTGTGGTTGCACGGCGTTGCATCACCGCTAGATACCACCCCGGGACTTTCGAGCTGGACGGAGCTGTTCGGGAAGGGACTGGAGACCCTCGTCAACACGCTTTGAGACACTCTGTTATTGCCTCCGTACCGGTCTGCAAAACTGAAGAGGACTCGACAGAAAGAAAAGAAGCCAGACCCGCTGCTCGACGACAAGCAGTGACCGCCACCACCCGCCCAAGACAACATCGTGCGTGGGTATCCATTTTCGAGGTGGTGTGGGTAGTCTACATTACCTACTACCTTGTGGTGCATCCAAACGACCAGGGGTGGGAGAGGAGAACAAGACCAGGAGAAACGAGGGAGCTCAGACCGCGCTTGGTTTTCTTTAAACACCCTTCCCATTCCCAGAAAACACTTCGGCTACCCCCAAATACTTCCCGTCTGCATGTTCCTTGTTGACCGGCAGCTTACCCCCATAACCCATCCTATCGGGGACCTTGACCTTGTGGAGACGGTTCCGAATCAGGCTGTCGGAATCTCTGCTTCTTAAAGCAGGTGTAGCCCCAGCAGCACTATGGCCGCTGCGTCACACAACCCGTATTCTCATCCTCCATCTCCCAACCCCTCCTCACGGCCCTACGAATCCTCGGGTGTCTCGTCGGCCGCCTCACCCAAACCGCTTACACAGTACCTTGGCGGCCTGATGAGGCCAAGCCCAAGTGCGAGCCTCCATCATCACCATCACCATCACCATCACCATCATCAACCGCCGCCGCCGCAAACACACCAGCACTCTCCCTCACACCAAACCGCCCCTTCACAACCTTTGGGCCTTCCGACACCTTTGCCTTCGGTTCACCAGCAGCAGCTCCCCCAACCAGGCAGCCATTCGTTCCAACCATACACCCCCGTCACAGCAACATCGTCTACCATGGAGCGAGAGTCGATGCAGTCAGGGGAGTCAGTTGCTGGCACCCCAGGGCCCTCTCATGCCCAGCTCCCATCGTCTTCCAGCAACAACAACAACAACAACAACAACAACAACAACAACAGCAACAACAACAGCTCCCAGGCCCAGAAGCGAGCATACCGCCAGAGGAGAAAAGATCCCAGCTGCGATGCCTGCCGCGAGAGGAAGGTCAAATGCGATGCCACCGAGACTACGAGCTGCTCCGAGTGCTCGAGCCGGAGCGTCAAGTGCCAGTTCACCAAGGAAACTAACCGACGCATGTCGTCCATCAAGCAGGTGCAGGATTTGGAAAAGCAGATGGAACGGGTTCGCCGCGAGAACAACAGCCTCCGCCGCATGCTGCAAGAGAGGGACGGCCAGTTTGATATGGATGTGGACGGCGTGGAGCAGCTGCCGCTCCAGCTCCCCGAGATCGCCTCGGCACCCAAGCGCAAGAAGCGGCCCGCCAGCATTCACGACCTCGCTCGAGCAAGAACCAACCTACGAAGCTTTTCCAGGGGAATCTGGAAGCCACCAGCGCCATACCGACCGGTGGCGGCCCCTGATCCGAGGGACTTCACTTCCATGCTGCCTCCCAGGCAGACGACAGACTCGTTGCTCAGGGCTTACTTCACCTCTGCCCATACCATGACGCCCATTCTGCACTGGAACAGCTTTGTGCAGACGGTAGATGGGCTCTACCGCCAGGGCAATCCGATTCGAGTCACGCAGGCCTTCATGTCTGTGTTCTTTGCCGTCATGGCCGTTGGAAGGCTCTTTACATCCGAGAACGAGCACAACCGAGCGTATTCGGCAGCCCATCTTCTCGAGACGACGCGGAGTTTGATTGACCCTTGGAACAACGAGTATGAGCTGGACAATGCGCGCGTGTTTGTGCTTATTTCTGTGGCGTTGAATGAGATGAACCTGAAGCTTGCTGCTTGGAACTGGCTCGGCAATGCTGTCCGGGTGGCTCAAGACCTTGGTCTCTACACCGAATTGGGGCCATGGCAATTCCTCGAGGGTGAGATGCGCAGGAGGACATGGTGGGCCATCTACCTTCTTGATCGCAGCCTGTCTATCGAACTCGGGAGGCCGATGATGATTGACGATTCCGACTGCGACGTCTCGTTGCCCGCTGGAGTCGACGACTGCTTCATCTCTGAGCAGGGCCCAAGGGTGCCCGTGGGCGCAGAGCCGCTTACGCATTCTCTGCTCGCCGTGATACACGTTGTGCGTTCTTACACAGCGCTCGGCAGAGCCCTCTCGTCCCCCGTTATTGCACCGACCCGGCTGGCAACGTTTGACCAGCACTTTTCCTCCTGCCTTCGAACCTTTCCACAGGCTTGCGACCCTACGAGCAACGCCCCCATGACCCCTGCGCTTCTCAACCCCTTGGTCTACCTCCTCCACGCACGCCTGCTGCTCCACCGACACAATCTGCTCCCTTCCTGCCCCCCCGACGTGCGACGGACGGCCTTTGAACAGTGCACTCACACGGCTCTCGAAACCGCTGCTCTTCTCCTGCGAGTTACACCCGATCTTCCGGAAGGCGCCACAGCGCTTCTGACCACACACATCTTCCGCTGCGCGCTGTTCTTGCTGATCACGGGCTGGTTTGATCAGGCGGCTACCTGCGTCCGCGCCCTGGCATCCATCAACGAGCACCGTGACGTTGCCATGCCTTGCGGCCGTTATCTCGGCTTTTTCGTCCAGGTTCTCGGAAACAGGCGAGCCGAGATTACAAGCTACCTCGCCCAGTCGCCATCCCCCAGTCATCCTCCCTCGCCATACGGACCCCCACCACCACGTCCTTCCCAGTCTGCGATTCAAGAAGCGCTCTTTCGAGACGAGGAGCTGGTCGCGTACGTCAGTTCTGACCTCCAGGCCAGCCCTGACACAGCCTGGGTCTGGGCAGGCAGCGACCGTGAGCCGCCGTCGCCCCGCTCCTCTTGTTCCATCGGGGGCCGCCAACGGGAAGCACACTCTTTTCAGCATCGACGCGAGGACAAACCTGACGAGCGAACAGAGATGGGAGTGGGGGCCGACTGGTTGGGAGAGGCTGGAGAATTCCATCCCGGTGCTTGGCGTCTGGTGCATCCAGTCCCACGAGCGCCGCCGCTCCTCCTCCTCCTCCTCCCCCTCCCCCTCCGGCTGCTCTCGCGCCTGCTCGCCAGCAAACCTGGGGCCCGATGAAGATGGAGTCACGCCTGGCCCCCCTCCACCTTTACTACCACCGGTCAAGATGGAGATGCCAGCTGGTCAGGGCCACGAGATGAAGATGGCGCCGTTGCCGATGCCGTTTTCTGCCCCTCCCCCTAGGCCGATGGAGATGGGGAGTGGGTCGTCGTCTAATAACAGCCCGACGGCGGCTGCGTCTGGGGTGTCGAGTATTAAGAGTGAGAGTCAGAAGAGGATTAGCATTGCGAATATTATTTAGGGGCGGGGCGGGGTGGGTGTAAATGAATAGATGGGAGGGGGATATATCATAGAGATGATACCATGACGTTTGACGGCCGGATTACTATACATACCACATCATCACCGACACAGAGCACATCTGGAACTATACGCCTGTTGTTATACCCGCGACACGATATACCTCCAATTCCTCTCTCTTGGTTTTTTTTTTTTTTTGGAGGACAGTCTCTCTTCATTTCTTGCACAATTTTTTCTCTCTTGGTTAATTTCTCATGTCTATAATGACGTTATTCTTCTTGTTTTTTTGTTGATACCATATTTAGTTTTGGGTATAGGGTTGGTTGGTCGGTTGGTTGGTTGGTCGGTCGGTTGGTTGGTTGGTCGGTCGGTTGGTTGGTCGGTCGGTTGGTCGGTTGGTTGGATTGGATTGGGTTGTATGTTAAGTATGTTTGTGTTTGGTGTGTGTACACAACAACAGCTGGGAGGCAAAAAATGGGTTGCGCTTGTTATAGCGCTTTTTGCTACTTTCTAGAGCGGGGGGTTGGGTCATATGGTTGATTGGTGACCATTGCATTACTTGTCCTGTCTGGTATTCTAGGGGGGTCATTCATGGAGGATTAGGAGGTTCAATGGCAAAGGGGGGAGCGGGGGGGGTTGTTTAAGGGGAAGGGGAAAAGTCAGCTTTTGGTTTGTTGCTCTGTGTCAGAGCTTCTTATCCTCTTGAAAGAGAGGGTGAATAAAAAACTTGTTTAAATGTACTTTGTGGTCTAATGTTGCTGTGCCCTGTTACTTGTGAAATTCTGCGTTTGAGATAGGGGACTTTGTTCTCGGGCATTGTTTTTGTGCATATACCTCGACCGCCTCCTCGTCAGATAATTTTACGAAACACATTTGGGGAAACCATTCTTCAGATCTCGAGCTGCCCAACCCAGGTTCTTATACGAAGGTCATCCCAAGCTTCTACATCAATGCCACTAGACTCTCGACGTGGTAAGATAGGTAACTACCACACGTGGCTTTAGGTTTTAGCTCGTCGATAAATAGTTACCCTCAAAGGAATATCGTTCTATCAACATCTTAAAAAAGAGAAATTCTAGCCGGGCAATCCCCCCTGGCTTACTGGGCACTTCACCCCCCCTGGGAGTTAGGGTTCTGTACAGCGCCTGAAATTCCAACTCCATCAACCACTTACTCCTCCACAACCTATATACTTCAGGCCATACTGCTTAATTCCCTACCTTCTAGCAATTAAACGCGCCTTACAAATTACTTTAATTACAACCTCACTCACAGCCTTTAGCTAGCTAACTACAATCTTACCCACAGCTTTAGCTAGTAGTTTAGCTAGCTATTGATTTTAAAGCGGCATTACTTATAGGCAGTGCCAACTGTATTTTATTGATAGCTTGACTATAGTATGTATAAATATTTATCTATATAGGAATTTATATGGGACAAAATGCAGGGCAGTAACAGTTGTAGTTATCGATGGTAGAGGTGATGGGAAAAAGTCGTCAAGAATATCATATCAAAGTCAGGGGCCATACAGAACCCTAACCCCCATGGGGTGTGCCCGGTTAGCTAGGGGGAGATGCCCGGCTAGAATTTCTCCTAGAAAAAATACCTACACAAATTGGCTAGCTCTCTTACAAGCCTATCACTGCTCACACAAGACACCCATCTAAAATGCAAGACAGCATATATCCGAGAGGCATCTTACGACATACCAATGCTTTCTCTCACGTACGATCATGTCTGTCTCATCCTAACCTCTCACCAAGTCTTGAGGTGATAACGATAGTAGAAGCACCCGGATCACGGCACAACACGCCCAAGTCATGGTTTATATAAACAACGGAGTAATATCCCATCCCACTCTCCCTCAAGCGCACCTACATCTACCATTCCCACCACAGCTATAGTATCCCACCATATATATATCCTACCTCATAAACCCCCAGCAACAATCTCCCCCCCCCTACCCCCCCAATAACACCAATCTAAACCACGTTTTCCTCATTATTCCCCGGTCATCAAAACTACCCACCGAAAACCCCCTTTATCCTCCCCTTCAACTACCGCGCCAACATCCCTCCCCCAAAAAATCCAGAACAACTGATCGTCACTCTCCCATTCCCATCCTCCCGGTCCAAGTCCCACACCTCCTATGTTAACCCACCCACCATCTCCCTCAACCCTTTTATCCCCTCCCTCACAAAAATCCCGAACCTATCGGAATAAAAACAACCCCACACCATCCAAGAAGAAACTTACATATATTTTTGCGGGGTCTTAATCAATCGACCATGTCGGAAATCTGCCTAGATACTCTCGATATATATACAATCAAAACACACTCTCGCTTTTTATAGCACATACATTTTGTGGTGTGGCTGCGACTGGGACTGCGGCTGCGGCTGTCTCGTCTTGTGTGCCCGTTGCCGTTGGTTTCAGCAATAACAGACCCCTGATACCACTCTTTACATTACCACCCGGTAACATTACACCCGCACACAACGCAACGTTACGTAACCTCCCCCCGGAAACACACACAGTTCGGCCGCTTCCGAAAACAGCGCACCTCCCGTTCCGAGTTCCGGGCCCCAATTCGGTTCGCACTCCGATTTGTCTGCACCATGTTTCTTTCAACCAACGTTCTGTTTCACACCCACACTGTACAGAATGCACGCGGGTAGTATGCGAATTGGTAAGCCGTGAAAATACGCGGCATTTGTCGGCTCGTCGGCCGCCACGGATGGAAGGCGAGTAAACAGCGCAAACAGAGATAACGGCCGCCTACTTGACCATGACATCACCGTCGTTGTTGTGTTGATGTTCACCATCCCCAAGTCCTCCATCATCGGCGGTTGACTTTTGCAAGCCATATCCCCGTTGTTTTTGTTGACTTTATACGTCTGCCTTCTTTGTCTCCGCCCAAGCCGGAGCATACGGACCGGAAGTGCATCCCGGACTGCAGACCGGATCCGATCGGCGCCACCTAGAAAGCTAAAAAGAAGTCCTTGTCAGGTCCACACAATCCACTGTCCACCGCCATGTGGAGGCGCTTGAGCCAAATCGTGGTCAAGGTTCGCCGACGCCATGGCTTCGATTGTTCCGGGTCCGCGTCTTCGGGTTTCCCAACGGCGGCAGGTGCACAATCCAAGTCCGACAAGACAACGACCGCAACGATGCCATCGCTGTCGGAGAAAGACCAGCTGGCATGGGCTTCAGTACCCTGGACGTCTGTGGTAGACGAAGAAAGCGGCAAGGTCCTCGGCTGGCGCAAATCTCAAGTCCCCTACATTCCTGGGGGCGTCGATAACAGTACTTTGTCACTCCAGACGCTTGATGTTTGGCTTCCCACTTCGGGCACCCCTGGATATGCAACCCCGCAGGCTCCTGATGCCTCTTCCCTCCCTTCTCAGTCAGGACACTGGATCGTCTACATCCATGGCGGAGCCTGGCGCGACCCCATGATTGACGCCTCGTCGTTCTCCCCCACAGCTATCAATCTCCTTCAAGCAGCCGCCAGTTCCTTTTCCAAGGGCTCGGTTCCCATCGCCGGTGTGGCATCCCTCAACTACCGGCTCTCTCCCCACCCCAACCACCCTACCGGAGGGCGAGACCCGAATCGAGAGGCCAGACACCCAGATCACATCAGCGACGTCCTAGGTGGCCTGGCATTCCTCCAGCGTTTGGGTGGTGCAACTGGGTCATGGTTGTTATCCGGTCATAGCTGTGGAGCAACCCTCGCATTCCAAGCAGTCATGGCCCCCTCGCGATGGGGCCTCGACACTGCCATCGTGAAGCCCACCGTTGTCGTTGGTCTGAACGGGCTGTACGACTTGGCTGGCTTCATCACCATGCCACCGCCCGAATATGCTGGCCTGAGAGATGCGTATGAGGAGTTTACTCGTGGCGCCTTTGGAGACGACGAGACCGTCTGGAAAGATGCCTGCCCTGCCACGGCAGTCGATTGGACAAGCGAATGGCAGGAAGGGAAACAAGTCGTTCTGGCCCAGAGTCGTGAGGACAGCCTGGTGCCGTACGACCAGCTCGAAAAGATGGGGGCCTACCTGAGCAAATCATCGTCTTTGAATATTCGGGAAATGGAGGCTGGCGGTGATCATGATGATATCTGGAAGAAGGGTGACAGGTTGGCCGAGATATTGTACGATGTTGTATCGGGTTTGATGTGAAGAGGATGAGCCGTGGTTTTGGCGATTTTGAACGCTAGGCTTAATGATTAATGTCTCTCGGGGGAATTTATTTGCATCACCGACTGTCAACATGGTCAAAGGTGTTTGGACAGCAGAACGGGAGGAGGTTTCGATATACCGATTGAGCTGGCAGTAGCAACACCAGCTCAAAACTGTGAAATATTGGCGACGTCAGAATCTCCAGACAATCTGGGCTGGATGGTCCTTTTGAACAATCCAAGGGTTTAATGGGAATAGTGGCTTGATCCTTCGGTGCGTTACCAAAGCTCTGATTGGTGGAGAGTGTTTGTGTCACCGGCATCGACATCCGATGTTCCATTCTGGCAAAGCCGCATGCTCTTCTTTTCGGTGGCAAATGCGTCAGATATAGATGTTGTTAAAATGAGGGAAAGCTCGTTGTAGATTGTCACACGTTGGAATAGGGGTCTGGGCCGTGTTGGGAGGGCTCGCAACCGGTAAAGAGTACATGATCGTGATATCAACCACGCATCGAACCACATGTCAAGGCTGAGCTGGAATGGAACATCAAGGAATCAAACTGGCTCCCAATTTCTAAAAATTCTTGATCGGTTTGGAGGACCTCTGCTCCTGCCTAAACCTCCCATACGCTCTTTCCTCATCTCCAGTGAGTGGGGTCTGAAAAATGTCCAAGTCTGGGAGAGGCACCTTCCCAAACGATATATCTCTTTCCGGTCTCGGTGATATGATGTCATTGCATTCTTGAGCACATCGGAGCAGTTACGAAGGGACAGTTTCAACTTGCAACACAAGCCCTCAATCACAAAACATTAGATCTCAGTGCTACGTTGAATTGGTCGAGAAATAGAGAATTGAGGTGTGTGGGACCCCGCTCAGCCTGGATGCAGGCAGGGCTGGCAAAGCATGCGAGCTGCATGGAAATGTCGCCTCCAACGGCCTTCGATTTGCTCCAGACGACAAGCTTTGCGGGGGCTGCGTCACCACTAATGCAGGGTGTTCACTAAACTTCGAACTTGTGTGGGCTTTGTGTCCGTCCGTACTCGTTCGAGGAGCTGCTGCTTCCCCTCAACCCCTCCTTCCTACTGCGGAAGCAAGCTCGGGGGGCGGCCTCCCCTCTTCTCTTCTTTATCTCACGATTCTCGCAAAACAAACGTGGAGGCCCAACGAGGCTTCAATCGACGTGGCTTTGCCCAACGTGGAAACCGGTCAGTTGTGTGCCAATTTCCGCCCGTAGAACCCCAAACGTGACAATCATGAGATGACCGGGGCAAAAGCTCCCCACGCTCAACTCTTGCCAGTCCAGTGTTGCGCAGTAGCTGACAAAGAGGGCCTGCCAACAGACGTCCCCGTTCCTGTTCTAGGTAGCTGCTAGACTGTTTGTCGAGTATAAAATCGCCCCCCCCCCTCCAACTAGCACTGTGAAAGGGATTTCCACTCTGTCTGTTTTGCTCAGACCCCTCCTCATCGCTTTGCGCAATATCATTTCAGCAATAGAACATACACTCACCCGAGGTTGCCCAAGATGGTACACCTTTCGACCATCCCCGACGAGAACCAGGTCGTCAACGGCAAGCTGGCTGGTGGCATCAAAAAGGCCCACCTCCAGCTTGTCAATGATGATGACAGCTTCACCACTAGCGTCTACGGCTCCCGGTTTGCTGCCAGAGACCTCCCCAAGCACGAGATGCCCGAGGCCGAGATGTCCAAAGATGTGGCCTACCGCTTGATCAAGGACCATTTGAGCCTGGACGGCAACCCCATTTTGAAGTAAGTCGTCATATCATGTTCGGCCGTTCGGCTCCGAGCGACTATCCGTGCGCTGCTGTTCCTGCTTCGGAATGCTAACGGCTGCATGTTGTGCCACAGTTTGGCTTCTTTTGTCACGACTTATATGGTATGTACCCCCTATCAAGAGCAGCTCAAACATGCGCTAACACTGCATGTAGGAGGAAGAAGCGGAAAAGCTCATGACCGAGTCCTTCTCAAAAAACTTCATCGACTATGAAGAGTACCCCCAGTCGGCCGACATTCAGAACCGATGCGTCTCCATGATCGGGAGACTGTTTCACGCCCCGATAGGCGTTGAAGACGATGTCGGCGCTATTGGCACTTCCTGCGTCGGTAGCAGTGAAGCCATCATGTTGGCTGTGCTTGCGATGAAGAGGCGCTGGAAGAACAAGAGGATAGAGGAGGGCAAGCCGTACGACAGACCCAACATTGTCATGTCGTCGGCCGTTCAGGTGTGCTGGGAGAAGGCGGCGCGCTATTTCGAGGTGGAGGAGAAGTTGGTGTACTGCACCGAGGAGCGATATGTCATTGACCCCGAGGAGACTGTCAATCTTGTCGATGAGAACACTATTGGCATCTGCGTGATTCTCGGGACGACTTATACCGGCGAGTATGAGGATGTCAAGGCTGTCGATGACTTGTTGACCAAGAAGGGGTTGAACACGCCGATTCACGTCGATGCTGCCAGCGGTGGGTTTGTGGCACCATTTGTCGTGCCAGACCTTGAATGGGATTTCAGACTGGAACATGTCGTTTCCATCAACGTGTCTGGGCACAAGGTTTGTCAACACCCCTGAGAAAAACACTTGGACTTTGCTGACCATAGATCTAGTATGGTCTCGTCTACCCTGGTGTTGGTTGGGTTGTGTGGAGGAGCGCCGAGTTCTTGCCCCAAGAGCTCGTCTTCAACATCAACTACCTCGGCGCCGATCAAGCTTCCTTCACCCTCAACTTCAGCAAAGGGGCCAGTCAGGTCATTGGCCAGTACTATCAGCTCATCAGACTTGGGAAACACGGGTACAGGGCCATCATGAGCAACCTGACGCGGACGGCCAATTACTTGTCAGACTCTCTCGAGGCTCTCGGCTTCATCATCATGTCAAAGAAGTCGGGCGAGGGTCTGCCACTAGTAGCCTTCCGTCTCCCGCCCCAAGAAGACCGCAACTATGACGAGTTCGCCCTCGCTCACCAGTTGCGCGTTCGCGGCTGGGTTGTCCCCGCGTATACCATGGCGCCCAACACCGAGAACCTCAAGATGCTCCGCGTAGTCGTTCGCGAGGATTTCACACGCAGTCGATGCGACAGCCTCATCACTGATATCAAGCAGAGTCAACAGCTTCTCGGACAGATGGACCAGGACAGCATCAAGAAGCAGCAGGACTTCATCCACAAGCACAACACCTCGAGCGGGAAAGCCTCACACAACCACCCCAAGTATCGGGTAAGGTCCTGTGCTCCCCTTTTTTCAAGGCCATTTGCAACGTCTTTTGTTATGTTTTTTTGTCGGAAGAAGTGATGCTGACCACTTACACAGAAGGAAAAACATTCTCTTCAGGGGAAGACAGGCAAAACTCACGCTATCTGCTAAGGAGAGGCCCGAGCGGGCTGTCACACTCTTGAGAATGCAGGGGGCTTGGTGGGGAGGGGAAAGAAGGCTTCTCTCAGTGTCGAGCTGCCCAGTGTACAGCAGTTGTTGACGCTGAGGATTGCATGTCCGTCATGATGTTGTGTATGCGTATATATTCAAGAGACAGAAAAATGAGAACCTTGATGACCCAATCATTGTCTCAATTGACAGGGGGTTGTGCTATCGATAAGCGAGCCAAGTCCCGTCCGTTGCAGTGGGGCACGCGCCTTTGCGGGCGCATCCCCGACATCGCTTGACAGATTTTCTCGGGTATTGATCTGATAAGATGGCGAAGTGGGTTGGACAGTCACAACAGTCAATGGAGTCACTGGGATCTTTCTTGAGTCACTTTCATCCACCTCCTCCTGTTCTTAAAGTCGTCGACGCCGCGCCTTTTGCAATTGATTGATCTCTCAAAACTCAATTGCTTTTTTTTCCTGCGCGCCGTTGGACTTTTTCCAACTCCATCCAACTCTATTTGTCGGTATCACACCCCAACCCTTAACTTCACCAGCTTTTCTTCTTTTTTTTTATTTAAAATCTTCATCATGTCCCTCCGTCCCACCCTCCGCCTCGCCGCCACGGCGAGCAGGCGCTGCTGCTCCCTGGCATCAACGAGGCTAGCCAGCACTGCCACCGTCCCCAAATACAAGGAAATCACGCACCCAGACATCATGCCGGGCAGCTCCAAATCCCAATCCCTCATCGACTCCACCTCCCCATACATGGTGACGACCTACTCCCGCCCCCCCATCGTCTTCACCAAAGCCTCCGGCTCCCTGATCTGGGACGCGGCCGGCAGGGAGTACCTCGACTTCACGGGCGGCATCGCCGTCAACTCCCTCGGGCACAACGACCCCCAACTCTGCGCCATCATGGCCGACCAGGCCACCACGCTGACTCACTGCTCCAATCTTTACTACAACTCTTGGGTGGGGGAACTATCCAAAAAGCTGGTGGGATTGACGAGGGAAAAGGGGGGCATGCACGACGCAGCCCAGGTATTCGTCTGCAATTCCGGCAGCGAGGCCAACGAGGCGGGGATCAAATTCGCGAGAAAAGTCGGCAAGGTTGTCGATCCGAGCGGGCAAAAGGTGGAGATAGTCAGCTTCAGGAACGCGTTTCACGGCCGGACGATGGGGTCTCTGTCGGCGACGCCTAACCCCAAGTATCAGGAGCCGTTTGCGCCCATGGTTCCGGGTTTTAGGGTGGGGGAGCTGAATGACATTGCTGGGATCGATGGGTTGGTGACGGAACGGACATGCAGTGTTATTGTTGAGCCGATTCAGGGGGAGGGGGGGGTCACGCCGGCAGGGGATGAGTTTTTGGTGAGGTTGGCGAGACGGTGCAGGGAGGTGGGGGCGTTGGTGCATTATGATGAGATTCAGTGTGGGTTGGGACGGACGGGGCAGTTTTGGGCGCATGGGCATCTGCCGAAGGAGGCGCACCCGGATATTTTGACCACGGCGAAGGCGTTGGGGAATGGGTTTCCTATTGGGGCTACGATAATTAACGAGAGGGTTGGGGAGAGGATCAAGGTGGGGGATCATGGGACTACGTTTGGGGGGAACCCGTTGGCTTGTCGGTTGGCTTGTAATATCGTGGAGAGGTTGGGGGATGAGAAGCTGCTGGAGGGGGTTAAGAGGAAGGAGAAGATCTTCAGGGAGACGTTTGAGAGGTGGAGGGGGGAGTGGCCGGAGTTGGTCAAGGAGGTGAGGGGGAAGGGGTTGATTTTGGGGTTACAGTTGAGTGAGGACCCAGCGGGGATTGTCAAGGCGGCGAGGGAGAGGGGTTTGTTGGTCATCACTGCCGGAACGAACACGTTGAGGTTCGTGCCGGCGTTGACGATCGAGGAGGGGCAGATTAAGGAGGGGTTGGAGAAGTTGGAGAATGCTATCAGGGCGACGAGGGAGTAAGAAGGGGGTGAGGTGAGGATTGTGTATAGATGTGGTGGGATGGGGGGATGGGGGATCTTTTGTGTGTAATCTTTCGTCAAGTTCATTGTCTGGAGTTGGATGGTTTGGAAAATAAAAGAGATTCCGGTTCGTCATAGTTTGCTTCGGGATGTGCTTGTTTGTTGACATAATAGGCTTACATTTCCACCTACATGGTTGTTCAACTGGTGGCAATGGATATAGGATACACAATGGTGTAGGAGATAGGTCGTAGCAAGAGAAATAAACCAGGGTCTGGAAAGAAAATAGCCACCATTTTTTCAGCCACCAGGACTCAGGCCCCTCCCTACTTTGGAAGTCAGTTTGATGACAAAGAAAAAAGTTTTGTTGCCCGGGGGCCATTCCGAGGGAATATTTCACTGCCACCTACTATCTATGAACAGCTAGGCGTCTGTATATATGACGGTCTGACCTCTTTAGGGAAAGACAGCAAAAGAGCCAGCCTTACCTCCCTCCAGGATAACAGGCAGCTTGGCCTTTTCAAAGACAACCAGAACATATCTACAAACAGCCAAAAAAAAAAACCACCCAAAAAAAAACCCCTCTCCAAATTACGATGTAATAAAACCAGCTATACAAACAGTCCTTTGGATACATGTCATGATGGGAAATGGCAGGGCCTTAATGTACTATCCACCAAGCTTCCACAAGTATCAGAATTGATAGGAATTTAGCCCGCTGAAGCCAAACCGGGAGGAGGCATGATATTCCCTCCACAGGTTCAGTTAAAGCTCACGGGGGCACTGAATTGGGACTTACCTGGTCAAAGAAAATGTACAAACCCCCTGCCCGGCTCCAAACGATGGGATGAATCGAGAAGTTCAGCTTCAAGGTAACTGATACCCCTACTTCCTTGTCTGGGTAATAAAACAACAACCCATACGGCAACCTGCCCGCCTGGGCTGTACCTCTTGTAGGTGGGCGAGAAGAGGCCGCAGACTTCCCACATGATGTAGAGGGCACACGGTTGCGGACCTCGAGCATTCGAAACCTCTTTGATCTCGTCCAGTGGTGTGTGAGATATCACATCAGCAAGTTCTGATACAAAGTTTTGTGGCAAGCATATGACTTTGTTTAACGCCAGGAGGGAGGTCACACACTGAGTAAGGTAGGTAGCGGCCGTGTTTTCTTGAGCTCGACATCGCCACCGGGAAAGCCACATGGCAGTATCGACGCATGAGATACCAGTGGGCTGTTGGAAGTGGATGGGAGGAAATCTCCAGACGGTGGTTGTACATGCGTGTATCATGTTTGCCGTCTAGCATATTGTCATACTTCATCTCTCGTTCGACAGCATAGGATGGTGTGCAGTGTCAGGTGGGAGTTGCATACAACAGCTGTTGTCTTGCTTTTCTTCTACCATCGTATTCCATATCACGCACCACAGGGTCACAAGTCTTAAATCACTCAAGTATGGTCATAAGCGATGGAATTTTGCTCATCCATCTCCTCTCGCGAGAAGAGACGATCTAAACTGTCCTACCACCCTAGCCGTTCCTCCCAAATGCATTTCCCTTTTGTCCTCTCTCTAAAAAAAAATGTTTGTGTGAAAAAAAAGTCATATTGTTACATGAAGTCCTCTCCCGAATGAATTTGCTGCCACCAGATGCTGCCTGCCATCCATCCCCAATCCAATTCCCAATGAAAAAACGCCGTCTTTCCCAGTTTGTGAACCCCTCCTTCTTTGTGAAAGGTGGAAAAAAAAACAAGTCGACCAATATCAAATATGGTCAAAAAGTGGTGATGTATAAACGAATGACACCAACGATGTGAGAAATGTGTGTCGGGTATAACAGAGAAGCGAAGGTCGAAAAGAGGGGGTATGGTTAGAAGCGAAAAAGAAGAAGGGGTCTGGACGAATTCATCAAATCCATCGACATCACGCAAGAACAATGTCTATGGCTGTCCTTGTCCAAGCAAGCTGCAGAAGTCCATCTCCGAAAAGGTAGAGAAAAAGCTTAAGCAAGCTGGAGTCTGGAGCCCTGTCTCCACCTGAAGCTGCGGCGAGAAGCACGCTTGTTGACGAGGAGCTCAGTGCCCTCACCCATCTGGCACTTGGTGCCGGAAGCCATGGCCTGGACGACAGACCAGGTGCCGGAGGCGCAACGCTGGAAGCCGTCGCCGAGACAGTTCCAGGAGCCCTCGTTCTGGCAGGCAGTGCCGGCAGGGTAACCGAGCTGCTGACCAGCACCGCCAGTGGGAACGGGGGCGGGGGCGGCAGTGGGAGTGTTGGCAGGGCGAGTGGAAATGACGAGAGTGGTGGGCTGGGGAGCCGGGACATCGACAGGGGCCGAAGTGACGGGCTTGTCAGGAGTGGGAACAGTGATGAAGACACCGCCGGGAAGAGAGGCGGGAGCCTTGGTGGTGACGGGGGCAGCTGTGGTGGTGGGAGGAACGACTGGGGCCTGCTCAGTCGTGGTGGGAGCGGGAGCGGGAGCATCACCACCGCCGTTGCCGGGGTTGGGAGCGGGGGCACCGGCGGGACCGCAGTTGCCGGAAGGAGCGCCGGTGCTGCCGCCGTTGTTGATGACATCGGGGCCGGGGTTGGGGTAGACAACATCGGTACCCTCGGCGACAGAGCAGCCATTCTCAATGTTGGCGACGAAGAGAGCGGGGCGAGAGGAGAAGCCAACAGAAGCACGCTTCTGGACGGCAGCCTGCTCGACCTTGGGAGCCTCAATCTCACGCTTGGCGGCGCTCTTGCTGATGGTGATGGGGGCGCAGTTCATGTAGAACTCGCGGTTGCCGATGTTGTTGTTCCAGGTCCAGGCCCAGATGGCCTCACCCTCGGGGGCATCGTCGGGGATGGTGAAGGGGTAGCTGGAGGCGAGCGGGCAGCCACCGATGATGGACTGGATCACGGTGAAGGTGGCACCCTTGTCGTAGCTCAAGCTGACCTGGCACGAACCACCGCCGTGGGGAGCACCGCCGGTAACCTTGAACTGGTACGAGCCACCGGGGCGGTAGGAAGCGGTGGGAGCACCGGCGGCAGTACCGAGATCCGAGTGGTAGCCCTTGCAAGGGTAGTTGGCACCGTTGGCAGCGAGGGGAGCTGTGTTGGTGTAGTCGATGTTGGTGGCATGGGGGTTGAACTTGGACCTGAAGGGGGCAGGTTCTGAGATTTCCATGTGGGCCGAGGCGAGCTGGGCACCAGCCATGAGGAAGGCGATGGCGCCGGTAGCGAATCCGTTGGAGAACATGGTCAAGTTCTTGTTTGTTGTTTGGTGGTTCTGTGGATGCCGGATAGGCGAGTGATCGATTGGTTCTCTGAAGTTTTCGTTTTCAAGGAGTGAAAAGCTTGCAAGTGGTCGCAGAGGAAAAAGTCTGGAAAATTTGAGCACTGCTCGGAGGCTGGTAATGAATGGGGTTGTGGGTGCTTGTGTCAATGTGGACAAAGCTGATTGTTGATGCTGGTTGAGGGGCTATTGTTTGTCGAACAATAGGGAGTGTCGTCACTTGTCGAAAGCACCGGGCTATCTTCTGAGTGAAGTGTAAAGTGTGGAAAGCGAAAAGAAAAAGAATCAATCGAAGCCCTTGACGGGGTGGTGTGGTCTGCTGAAGGAAAGTAAGAGGCGTGATGCCGTGGTGAGAGAAGGGCAGAATAAAAGGAAGATTGAAAAAGAGGGAGAGCTCCCTTTATGTTTCTGTTCCACCCGTTCATCCAGAGACGATTGGCCCCCGTCCTGCCGTTTCGAACGCACACTGGACAGACAGACGCCACTGGACGAACGGCCTCTCTCATCCCATCCCTCCCTCCCCTGCTTGCTCCCTCCCCTTGCTCCACCGCAAAAGACACCCCCGTCCCTGCTGGGCCGCTGCGGTCCAAGAAGATCCAAGCAGCAGGGTCAGAGTGGGGATCGGGATCCTCGAAGAGGACTGGTTGTACGGTACACCATCTGGACTGCCGTGAACTGCGGCCTGTGTTCAATGCGGCCGTGAGAGAGGGCATTACACTGCAATATCCGCTCAAATCCATCACTCACGGCAATACTCGGTATCTTTGCGGACGGTGGCAATTGCTCGCTCCTGTTCACTTCACCTCAAACAGCACTCGCTGGGTCGGTCACTGGCAGGGAGCAACAGAGCAAAAGGATTGGTAGACAGGCGCGCGGGACAGATTGAGGATAACATCCCAAAAGAAAAGATGCAAATTCAGGTACAAGTCCGGACAGCCAGTGAGAAGGATGACCGTCCAAAAAATGCACGATGGACTGGTGACTGGTGCGACGATGGCGCTGGTGTGACGGGAAACGCTTGCGCTTGCCCTGGAAAATCGTTGTGTGTGTGTGGCTGCCGCTGCCACTGGAACGCTAGGCACTCGGTATTCGTCCGTGGGGCTGCAACCCAAAAGTGCCCCATCGATCAGGGGCCAGCTGTCAGTTCATCCAATGGCTGCCCGAGTGTGCCTGAGCCGTTCTAGTCTCTGACTGGCTGGTGGGAAAAGGTCTGGTCTGGGCGAGATCCTGGGGAACCTGGTTGAAAGCGCCCGACTGGCCCAAACACCACAAACTTGAAACACTGACCCCTTTTGTTCGCTTCAAAAAACCCTCATAACCCTAGAAGAAGAAAATTCATCAACCCTGGAGCCCCAAGAGAAAAAAAGAACTGTGCCACTGTGGCCCCAATCCAGACCACCACGGCACGCCGCGTGTCCCGGTTGTTTGTCAAGCGCTGGGCCCTGCAGACATGGGGAGGGGACATGTTCACTTTGGGACGACGGCCGACGAGTTGTCTCTCGGTGTCTGCCTTGCGCAGCAGAACCCGGGGGTTATGTCCGAGAGGGAACCGCTTTCTGGAACTTTGCTCTGAAGCCATGCGAACAGAACATACGAACGAGAAGCCGTCGGTTTCACAGTTGAGCTATCACGAAGTGGCAAGTGGCCTGCAATTACAGACCGTCCTGACCGCCGTGAAAACAGCCATAACCACCCGATCTTCTACAGGTTTTCTGCACCAAGACCAACCGCTTGACTCATCTGCAGCCCGAAAAGCCAAATTAAGAACACATGGGACGAGAATACTGGCAAAATAGCGAGAGAAACATCCCAAGTTGCAGGTCGCACATCATCCCGAGAGTTTACCCGAACCGTACCTTACATAAAGTGAGCCATAAAATAGCCACTGGGCCTTTCGACCGCCTGCTTTTCGGCTGCTTTTTCTGTTTCTTTGGAGGAATTGTCACCCCCCTCCATGATTACGTAGGCAGTGCAGCTCAACCGTTGACGGCAACCAACCCGACGTCAACCCCGTCAACCCCACCAAGCTTTTGGCTGGCTGAGGGCTCCCGACATTCCGACATCCAGGCGGGGAACATCGCTCCAAAGACAGCGCCTGGCCAGCCTGTCCCAGTCGAGATCAAGCACCCTCAGGCCTGATGATCGACAACCGCCGACCGCGCGGTCAATGCAAGACCCTGACTGTCCACAGAAAGAGAAAATCGACAAAACCTGCGATGCAATGATGCAGGTTGTCGTTTGTTCATCACGGTACACAAGAAAGACACACAGAAAGAGAAGAAGGAGGGGCAGCTTTTACCCCTGACTGGCTGAGATGCTTCTTCACCTTCTCCCTGCCGGGCGGTGTGTGTGCCTTACGGTATGTGCCCTGCGCAACCCCGAGGCGGCAACCGACAGGCGACGCCGCCCTCGCTCCCTCGCAGACCACGCAAACTGACCAACAACTGACCACTCCACCCACCACCTCGTCCATTATGCCATTATGCACAACATCTGCTGCGGCGTGAAAACGGAGCTGTTGGTTGATGACGACAAGAGGTGGATGAGGGCGTGGACCGCATCGGCGCTGCACGTTCAGCTGCGTCAGCTGCGAAATCTCTTTTTTTGAGCGACGGTGGACCTGCAGGTGGCGATATCTTTTTGCGATGGTTCCTGCATTGACTCCGATGCACCACCCACGCCTCTTAAGTCATCGGGAAAACACTCGGATTCAAACTCAGCACCACTCAGGGGCTATCACAGTCCACACCGACGGCTGCTGGAGGCTGACGGACAAAAGAAGCACAAACAACCCCCCGATTACCCCTCACCACCCCAAGGATTGCAGAGGGGGAAGAAAAGTCAGCAAGAGGATCACGCAACCAGCCGGCGGTAAAGCCCGCGATAGGCAGGCCGGCCCAGGCCCGCACCCGGTGTAAAAACCGCATGTGTGCCTCCTCCCACAAAGTACATGTGAGAAAGAGGCAGAGACAGCAGAATACTCCGGTAAGCGAGTGGTGAAGGACAAGTTTGTCGGTCCTACACCATCCAACCACAAACTGCACAACAGGTCTACGTTGGCTATTTTGCGACTTGCGGGGCTCTACCGAGCGCAACGTTTCTACTGATATTTGGTCTAGACTCTAACAGATCTAGCATTCCTCAGCGATGATCTTTTTGCCACTCACTACCTAGGTGACATCTCGACTTTTGTTTATTTGTTGTCTTATAACCCCCCCCCCCCCCAAAGTTCCATATCATAGAAACACTCGCCCAAATTCATGTTAATTTAGCATTCTCTTCGCCAAGCGCTGTGTTAGTGTGTGCAACCCTTCGATTCCAATCCAACAATTCTTCTTCAAGCCCGGCAGTCTGGAGCCCAATCCATGGGGTGGATCATCCTTCACCTTGAAGGTGTGTGTGCGCGCCTCCCCCGCTCCCCGAGCGACCCCGAGTCACCCCTGAATCCTCTGTTCCGAGACAACAAGCCTTTTCCCGCCCGAGTCTGTCTTGCATTGAACCACATCGGATCGCATAAACTTGCACATGTCAGAGAAGTGGAAAAATAGTACACAGCCTCCCTGAGGGAGATCATTGTGAGAAGACTAAAATCACCTCAACATTGGGATCCCTCGCTTTCGAGAGTTGAAAGCTGTGTAAGGGCCGTTTTCCAGCCACCAACCAACCACCTCAACCGAGGATATCAGGAGGTGCTTCCAGCCTCCTAAGCCCAGGGAAAAAACTTACATTGGTTTTTCGGCAGCTGAGTGAGTCCAAGAAAATAAAAGACAGCGGATGCTGGTCGGTAGATTGTCAGATCAGTCTCTCAATAACCTACCAATGGACATGCTTCTGAAGGGACATTCTCATGATCTAGGCGCGTTGTGATATCGGTTGAGTAAACTATCTCCCCATGCGCATCATCAACTTCTCAACAACCAACTACTAAACCAAGTAAAACATCACGACAGTTCACATGGCAGACCACATTACACCCCATGAATCTGTTTCCAATCACAAACTCATCCTGTCTCCTAGATCGCAATATGAAGGGGTCATGATCTCCAATGATCTCCCTGCCCTACCACACCACACACCTTTCCCGCACTGATCCTTTCATCCCAAACCTGAAACTTGTAGATGTATGTACCTACCTATTTAGGCTCTCTCTTCATGTGAGCGCGCCAGCACTGAACACACCTTTCCCAGACTACGCCCCCCTGCGTGTGTTGGAAGAGTAGGGAAAAAAATGTGGTGGGCAATGTATCTGATGCTATTTTTCCTTTCCGCTCAAGCGCTACTGCCATTCATATGCGCCGAGGCGAGACAATCTTGATACTACCATTACCGTTCATTACCAACACCACCAACGATGTAAGGTACCTTATAGTTAGGTGGACTGTTGTGCATCCCCAAATTCCATCTGACAAAGATCGGTGGGTATGACAGACCATCTTAGGTCGCCAATGTGCAATGCTGTCTTTTCTACATCCCCAAGAAGTCCATCCTTGCTTGCGTCGTTGGACGAGTCCTTGTTCCGTTGCTATAGAGCTGCGCGGCATGCTTACACCATCCTCCTGAGGAGCAACCAGACAACCAGACAACCAGACAACCAGACAACCAGACAACCAGGCCACCTCCGTGTGATGACCAAAGATGAAAACGCCGAGAGCTCAGAGACAGCATCTTCCCTCCTTACACCCGCCAAATCTTCACCAAACAACCCTGAGCGACAACCCTTGACAGAAAGCACCGCATCTCTAAGCAATCCATAATCGTAGTGAGTTCCCATCCCCCCTAGAACTACCACTCCGCCCGGAAACCAACACCCCTTCATGGCACAGACACAAAACAGTTCCTCGGGCTATCCAACCCAACATCTCAATAGTCACAGCCCCTTCTCCCGCGCTCCCTGACCTGCAAACCGTGCTCCTCATCAAAGAGCCCAAGTCCATCATCACGTAACATACCACTCAACTCAAAACACCACCCTACCTCCTCCAAGGTCGCCACCCACTAACCCACCACCAGCCATCGTACCATTCCATTCCACCTTCTCACACCCCCGTACGACTACCACCACCACCACCACCACCACCACCACCACTTCACTCTTCACCGAGACACTCCCCCTTCCCTCAAGTACTACTAAACCACCCGTTCACGGCCCATCATCTCTCGCGGTCGACCTCCCCTTTCACCGTTGAGCTCCTATTAGGTATTTTTCCTCCATCACAGCAAAGGACCGTCGCAACGGTGGTGTCCTCTTCTATACAAAGGGCGGAGACGAGGGACGAGCAGGCATCAGTAGAAAAAAACAGCGGGAAACTTGCAACACACAAACAATCAACACCAACAAACCCCAATCATCTCCCCCTATCCGCTTTCAAGATTCTCATGCTGGATTCGTGCTAGCTGTGTAAGCTACATCTATCGCATGATGAAAAAAAAATCCTCATGTTGTTTGGACCACAGAGAGAATCAGTCTCGAGCAAAACTCGTCTCTCCTTCCTCCTCCTCCATCACCCCCTCCTTCAGCATCATCACCGCCGCCACCGCCGCCCACAATCTCCTCCTCCTCCTTCCTCATCCCCCAACCCAAACCCCTTGCCAATCAACCTACCCCCACCCTGACAACTTCGGACCTCTCTCAAACAATCACCGTCACTGTCACTGCCACCGGCCACCCACACAAACTGTATCCAGCCTCAGTCCTAAACCAAATAGGACACGCCAAGCTGCCATACCCTCTCCTCAACCCAACTCAAACCACCCCCCCCAACACCCTCGACATCACCCGTCAACCCCTTCAGCATCAAACAGCAGCCTGCCTCGCCCTCCCCCATACACCCTTTCACATAACTCAACAACAAGAACAAGCTGCTGTTTCCCCTCCCAACCACCCCTTCCTCCTGTCATGTCCTGCCATGTCTGTTCCTCTGCGTCATCCCCTGCTCCTTTCTGGCTATCGCCCTTCCATGCGTTTGATTGTTGTCAAATAAAAAAAACAGACAGAAAAGAAAAACCACATCACATCGCTCTGCCGAACAGAAAATGCCTCGACAAATACCAAGATGGGCGGTAATGCAACTGGCAGCAAAGCGCACAACCGAAAGAACCATGCAAGATATTCCGTGTCGTGTATAAGCTCTTCTCAAATAATGGAAAAAGCTAATAAGTGATGGGTTCCTTTTTTTCTGCTTCTTCAATTTTTCCTACCCGCCCTCCCGTCCTGCATAAAAACCGTAGCCAGCCGACCTTGACATACATAATGACTTGTTGGGTTTGATTCGCTTGCCGCAACCGAGGTCGCCGTGAAGGCCGAAAGTAAAAAGTTCTCGGACTTCCTCTCGATAGGCGGGTGCAAGCGTGTCCAGTCGTGGGCCAAAGTTGTACAAAAGGATAAGGCAGCTCAAAAGAGCCCGAGTGACCGAGGCAGACATCAACATGGCGTCTCCACCTCAAATGTAGACGGGTCTATTCTCTCATTGGGGAGCACGCTGACCCGAAAACTTGCCTTGGCCTTGCTGGGGGGTATAGGCCGGTTGCTGATAAGTCATGGCGGGACTCATTCCGTACACGGCGGGCTGTCCCTGATGAGAACCCTGATGAGCCATCATCGGGGCGGCAGCGGACCGGCCAGGGCTGGGAAATCCATTGGATCCAACCATCGGCTGCGGGGCAACCGCGCCAGGAGGCATAAACGGAGGACCGCTGACCGGATACATGGGCCCAGGAACCGCCATGCCGTTAGGTGGCATGAAGGGAGGTTGACCCATCATAGGCGCACCCATGTGATGGGGCTGCTGCGGCATGAACTGAGGGTTATTTGAGAAACTGCGGAACTGACCCATCTGAGGCGCGCCGGGGTTCATGTATTGAGGCATGACAGGCTGGCCATAAGGCATCTGACCGGGAGCATTCACCGAAGGGGGGTAGGCCATGGGAACTTGTCCCATTCTAGGGGAAGCGAAGGACTGGGCCGAATTAGAATGCATCATCCTATGATCGTCGGGGTTGTACGGTCCATGTGGTCCATGTCCGTGCTGGCCGGCCTGCATCTGCATCGGGGGCATGTGGGGCGATTGGCGAGGAGCCATGCCCTGGCCCCCGTGCTGCAGATAGGGTGGCAGCTGGTGTTGGTGCGGGATTTGGGGCATGGCATGCGTTGGGTTGGGAGTGGCGACGGTCGCACCAGCTCGCGGCACCTTCTCGAAATACTCATTATAGGTCATGCTCATGGTAGAGTCTTTGGGCTCTTCCTTCTCCGGGTCAACCGCACGCCAAGTGGGAGGGTGGTCAAAGGCGGGTCTGAAACCGTCATTCTCCTCCCAGGTCTTCTTGGGATTAGTCGGAGGCTGAATAGTCTCCATGTTGGAAAGGACAAGACACTTCTTGATATCAATCGCCTTTGTCTTGCGGCGGACCAGCTGGCCCTTCGCCGGAGCTGGAGGAGCCATGATGGGAACTTCCATCATGTTCACCGAAGCACGAGGGCTGGAGGCCTGGCTGGGGATGACCGCGTTAATGGGGTTGATTGGGTTCATCGGGTTGAAGGGTTGTGCAAATGCATTGGGTCTGAACTCCTGGGTGTTAGGATTGAGCTTGGGACCGAGATAGGTCGGCGGCACACCGCTGATGCGACGACCGTAGTTGGGGTCGGCATTGTTAGCAGGACCGGTTGGTGGTAAACGCATATCCGGCTGAGGGTGTTGAGCCATATGAGGGTGCTGCATCTTTTGCTGCTCGACATTTCTCAGACGCTGGGCCAGCTGACCGGTAGCCTGAGCGCCGGGAGGAAGCTGAGCACCACGGCCGTTCCGGTTGTACTGGCCATAGGGAGGCTGGATCCCATTGCTGTTATGGTAAGAGGCGCGACCTCCGGGATGGCGACCGGGGGCACCGGATGAGTTGGAGTGTTGGGGAGCCGTAGGGCGAGAGCTGGCGCGAGAATCAGTCGTCGCGGCGGGCGTCGAGGCATTCGACTGCTCGGCTGGCGTCTTGGCTTGGTTGACCTTGGCGGCCGCAGACTCCTTCTCCTTGGCAGCAGCCTCTTGTTTCTTCCTGGCAATCTCGGCCGCATTTTGAATCGCCTTCTCCTGGATCTCCTGCTGCTTGACGGGGTCCTTGGCAATGATGGGGATCAAGTCCTTCGGCACGGGAGTGGACAGCTTGAAGTCCTTGGAGAACTTTTTCAACTCGGTCAACTTGACCTCCTTGTCAACTCTGGCCTTGCTGTGCCGGGCAGCATCGGCCTGCTTCCTCTCCTTGATGGAAAATTGCTTGAAAGCATTGAGTACTTCTCGCTCGACGTTGTTTGCAGCGCTTGGGCCGCCCGCCCTACTCGCACCTGGGAAGCCAACACGAGCCGTGGCAGTCGAGGACCGAGCAGCGACAGTCTCCTTGGGGTCTGCCTTGGCGGGGGCTGCGGATACGTCGGGCTTGGTCTCTGGAGCTTTCTCAGAAGCTTTGCTTTCCACCTTGGGCTCGGCAGCCTTGTCCACAGCCGGTTGGGCTGGTGTGGGCGTGGCGGCAGGCGACTTGACATCCTCGACCTCGGGCGTGGGCTGGGTAGAAGCCGGGGCACCCTTCAATTGCGATGAAATGATAGCCGGGTCCACTGGAGCACCCTTGACTGTTGACTGACCGGTAGGAGCCCGCCGAGCTGGTGGGGTGTACTTATTCTCACGGTTGCTGCTCAACGGAGGGAAGTCCTGGCGGGCAACACCGCTGTATCTGGGAGGGGGTCAGCTCGGAATTGTCACCGGCGGCTATGCCTGTGTGCTTGACGTACTTCTCCTCTTCATCCCTGCCATCACCGCCGCCACCAAAGTCCATAATGCGCTCCTCGGCGACATGGGCAAACTTGGGTGCCTCCCCTTCGATCTGGCGCGCAATCTTGTCCGCCTGAGCGATTCTCTGCTCGTAATTGGGGTGGCTCCTGTCGATCTCGGTCGTGTAAATTCTCTCATCATAAGTGGACTTGTTTCCAAACATCCTCTCGTGGGTTGCGAACTGATCCCAACCGCGGACATCTTCTTTGGAACTTTCAAGGCTAAGGTCAGTTGTGGTGTCAGGGGGTGGGGCCCAGGGTTGAAGAGCACGACCAGCACCGAGTCGCGAGTTAGAAATGGAGGCATCTGTCTTGAAACCGGATCGATTGCCTGCGAAAAAGATCAGTTTCAAGGCCTTGCAGAGTGTGTATGCATGTGGTCCCTCGATTACCATTAGCACCCTTTCCATCATTCTTCCCGGCGTTGCCAGGCACAACGCGAGCGTCCATGACGTCCTTCTTCTGGGCCATCATTTGTGTCTGATCTCGTCTCGCCCCGTTGGCAAGGTCGGCCGAATTGGGGAGCTTCTTCTGTAGCACGTTGGTTAGTCGAAAGCTGCCCGAGTCGAAGTCGTTCGAACAGGTGCCTGAAAACTCGGCCCCTGGGGAGTATCTAACACGCACTCGCTGACCCTGCGGCAGATGTAAGCTTCTGTACACGATTGAGTTGGGGGGAAGCGGAGAGACGGCGTGCGTCTGCACCAGTTGCTCTGTGGCAGCTGCAAAAGCTAAATCAGGCTCTCGGAGGCGCCCGCAGGCGGAGGGTGGATACGGGGAAATGGGGTAAAGTTTGACTGACCTCACGGAGGGAGTTGGTCACAGACTGCCTGTTCTGTGAGTTGAAGCCGGCCTGAGGTGGTTGCGATCGACCGGTAACCGGATTTCTCGACGCTGGGGTCCAGGCCTTTGTGACAGGAGGAGTTTGTCTGTGCGGTGGTCGACCGTCAGTCAGTCAGTCGCTTACAGGTGCGAACCATCAGAGAGGCACGATGCGGGTCGATCCGCGAAGAATGGAAAGAGAATGGGAAAAGGGATAGAGTAGAGAGCCGACGCAATGGGGTGTAGTCAAAAGTGGACCGTGGGGTCTCTTGTTGGTGGGCAAAGTGAGGCTTGAAAAAAAAAGCTGGGGATGGCAGGGCAGGGCAGGGCATGGCATGGGGGGAGTGGGTAGGGGGGGAGGAGAAGGGACTCGTGTCTCACCTAGCAGTCTGGCCAGAAGGGGTCACCTCTTTCCTTTGGTCGCCGAGCTTGCTGCTGTACAGAGGCCTCTGGGTAGGCGACTTGACGTCGGCGGAGGTGGACTGCGATGGGGTCGAAGATCGGTCTTCCATGGCTCCCGTGGTCTTCGCTGCCAGTTCACACTGGGTTGGTCGCGGCGGCTTGGAGGTGGAAACTTTGGGAGGAGTGCGGGCGGGAGTTGGTACGGTGCGGCAGAGAAGGAGTTTGTGCGAATTGGGCGAATCAGAGTGCAGAATGGTGCGACCTGACCGAGAGAGGGTCGTGACAGTGGGAGCCACAGCCCGATCTATTGCAAAAGGGCCCGTGTGTCAGTAACGACGGCCTGCCACGCTACGACTTTTGGCTGGGTCCGTTGAATTCGCAAGTTGACCGGAAACACACTGTAGGCTCGGGTTGCCGCAACAAATTTCCTCAGAAACCTAGGTGAAGGTCAAACGCCCGGCATCGAGAGTTGCCCTTTCCGCAGCGGCTGGGGTGTCGGTAGGATGTCGGTTTGACGTTGGCAATCCGGGGGGAAGACACACAGGCAGCTCTACTGCGCGGTGAGGTAGGTGCTGCAAGTCGTGGAAAGTTAGGTGCGTAGCTGCTTGGAAGAGAAAAGTCGTTACGTCGTGCTTGCTGGAACGGCGAGAGGTCTCTCGCGGCTTGCCTGAGGCGGGGAAGTTGTGGATGTCTTGAAAGACAGGCGAGGAGGTGTCGTCAAAATAAGGAGAGCGGGAAACAGCCTGCCAGCGCAGAAGGGATAAGGCAGGGCAGGGCAGGGTTTAAGGGTCTGTGGGGAGGACAACTTTGGGGTTTGATGGTCGAGTCTTGCCGGTCGACGAGAGAAAAACAAATCAAAAACCCCCTGAGCGAACGAGCAGCTGTCTGCTTCCGCTCTCACGCTCTCACTGGCAATGAAAAGATATGATATCCTCTCCAGAAACACCGGCGTCGAGATTTTGTTGGCAAGCAACTCCCAATGGGTGCATCAACGCGGGAGGGCAGTTGCAGCTCCCTTCCCCGCTAACACCACTCTGAGGAAAGCCAGGGCTTGGCACTCCCAGGATTGATCAAAGGCCGTCACGTGATGTCAGTTCTACCACCTCTCTTTGGCACGTCTCTGGAACCGCAGGCTTGCTCCTACGGCTCCGTCCTGGACAATGAGAGAGATGGCTGAGTCAAGTGCTCCTTTTACAATTGTTCGGCCTAACGCCTGTGCCGTTTCGAAAGTGGTGCCTGGCTCAGGTCCGGCAACAAAACAAACGCTTTTCTTAGAAGACTGTGTGAGGTGCAGAAAAACAAGTGCCTGGCCGAACCTCCCGCAACCTGGAACCACCCGTCACCGGCTGCCCCCACGGGGTATTTGTTGCACATGTCTACCTGTTTCGACTTATACTGCTACCATTGGTATCTAGTAAGCACAAAACCTGATGGCGAGCACCACTATCCAATGACAGAACGTTCTGGTCACCGGCAGCCAAGAGAGACTTGCATATATTACCTCCTTAACGCAGTAGCCTCATGGTCACCCCCCAAGGTCGTTCTAGTATGCGTAGTTAGGGCAGGTCTTATATTGGGGGCACCACCACCGTCAGCATGTCATTGGCGATGCTCGTCTTCCATACCAAAATATGGTATGGCTGCTGACAGCAGGACCTGACCTTATCAATGCGTGTGCACCCTTTCACCTGTTTCAGTTGCAAATGCGTACAACTCGGAGCGCCGATATTGGGCTTCTCCCTCCCTCATGGCAAGTCTCGGGCATAGCCGTCTTTGCAGAAAATGTTGGATGGCAGCAGCAGATCTTTTCGTTTCAGACAACCACCCTCGGGGAATTTCCGCTCAGTTTCATAGACGCACACATGATGATCCGCACTTTTTGGTTTCTGCCTCAATTATCCAGATGCCTTGAGTGGGCGAGTGGGAAGGCGGGGTATTTCAATTGGTTGGATGCTGACCGTGATGTCATGTTGAACCTGGGCCTTTCCCCTCTCTCGAGTCTGACCGAAGTCGTTGCGGGCAAGCTTGTCGGAATTTCCGCAGCTCCAAACAGAGCCTCAATTTGACAGCTGAGTGCTCTAGATAAAAAACACCACCCGGCATTTCTTCCGTCTCCGTGCCTCTTTGCTTCTTATCAAAATCGCCAAGCTTGAGAATACCCCGATGATCTCCCTCGCTTATGTCGACGCCGCCCTACCTGCCGAGATGTCATCTTTTTATAGCTGTGTTTTTTGTCGCCTGCGCATGGTGTGGACGTTTGCTCGATCAGCAGTTGTACGCTGTTGATGGGCTATGTCAGTCGAGATCGTGGTCCTGGCTCCGGTGACGCTTACAAGTCGATGTAATGTCTGAGGCAGCCGCGATGTTTTGGAGAAAGTCTGCACACAGGCAACAACCATCGACAAATTAACCTCAAAATAATCGGACATCTATTACCTTAGAGAGAGGCTGAATGTCAATTGACCACTCAGCAAAACCAACCAACGGTCACGGCAACAACACGAGCGATCTGTCGAGCGAAAAGGATTGCTTTAACAACGCTGATGTAAACAGATGGTGTTGAAGGAGCGTAGAGAGACTAGCCAGTGGGCAAGAAGATGTACCAAACCGTCTGCCTTCTTTCAACCACCATACAGAAAGCAGCCGTCTAGCCGTGAGGCCTCGCAGCAGACTTCATCCTTCGATAAGACAACATCACAGCTAACAGGAGAGTGCGCCCAGAAATCCCACTTCATACATTGTATTGTGTATGTGGTATATGTGTACACACACAAGACTTCTATCTACCTGAGCCTCATGAGGAGCTCCCGCTCCCAAGGCCCCTATGTGTGTGTTCCCGTAATTTGTTTTCCGCGCTTTCCGAAAATGCTTTCAAACCCAAAATCGACATCATGAGAGGAGCATTATACATGACTTGATAAAAAATACATGGCGACCGAAGAAAAGTAAAACGCCCCGAGCAGCACCACCGTCCTTTTGAAGATCGTTGTTCGGTCATAAATACCCCAGACCCTCATTCAAAAATAAATAGCTTTTTTGTACACCTTTCCCGCCATTATATAATCTTACACACACCACCACCGAAAGAGAGGAGATTGCTTATTTGTTCTTGACAACGCCGACCTTGGCGGGTCTGAGGATGCGGCCGTTGAGCTTGAAGCCCTTCTGCTGGGTGTGGAAGACGGTGTTGTGCTCCTTGTCCTGCATGGGGGTCATGAAGGTGGCCTCGTGCTCATTGGGGTTGAAGGGAAGGCCGTGGGGGTCGAATCGCTCGAGGCCGTGCTTCTTGAGGGTCTCGAGGAGGATGTTCTCGGTCATCTTGAGACCCTCGTAGAGGTTGACGAGGTCTTGGAGGTGGGCAGACTTCTCCTCGGACTTGAGCTTCTCCTCGGGGACCATGGTGAGGGCACGGTCGAAGTTGTCAACGCTGTCGACGAGGTCCTTGGCGAACTTCTGGATGGCGAAGTCACGGGCGGCCTTCATTTCACGGGCAGTCCGGTCCTGGAGGTTGCGGAAGTCGGCAACGGAGCGGAGGTACTTGTCCTGGTATGGTTGTTAGTATATGCAGGGGATCATAGTCAGGGGTAGGTTGTATGGCTGTATGTACCTTCCAGTCCCGAACTTCGGCCTCCTTGGCCTCTAATTGCTTCTTGAGCTTGGCCTCCTCGGTCTCCTCAGCAGCCTTCTCCTCTCCGTTCTTGGTCTCGGCCTCCTTCTTCTCGGCCTCAGCGCTGTACCATCTCGCCCTCGGTGCCACTGTCCTGGCGGCTGCGGCAATTGGTGACTGGATGAACTGGGGTCTGGCGAGCTGTCTTTGGGCGCCGGCCCTGGCGGTGGAGCGGAGGGCCCGGGAAGTGTTGGCGATGGTCTGTCGTAACATTATGGCGGTTGTATGTGGTGTATTATCTGAAACTCTCAACGGACGGCAATGCTCTCTTTTTTATAATTTTACAATACAATGGCGTGTTGCCTTCCAGAAATTTTATGACGACGGCTTTGGTTGGGCCGTTCAACCGGGCCAAGGTCAGAAAAAAAGCGGATCATCTGACGGACCGCCCTTGAGCTGTTCCCCAGATCCCGCTGAGCCCCGCCCAGCCGAAACCAGTCAAGCGTCTGCCAGATGCTGCCCCACTGTAACCTGCCGGGCCCGCCGCGAAATCATGTGCTGATAACGCAGGGCAGGCATCTTATCGGCGCTTTGTCGCGCGCCTCTCACATTCACTTGGAGGGCTTGTCCAAACTTCTGAGCTGGGATCCGCTTGTTGCTGTAGCCTTCCACATCAACAGCAACTCTTTCTGCGATTTAACCACTGCTCCATCCTGCTTGCTTGCTACCTACACAAACGCGCCCTTGCGATTGTCATTTTACGAACCGAAAGCAAACACAAATCGCGCGAGATAATACACAGCCGGCAAGATGGATTACGATCCGATGGCAATGGATGACGCCGAGTCGCTCGGGCCCGTCGTCAAGATCTCGCAGGTATGTAGTTGTCGCAATGTCCGGGCAGCTGGTGGGACGGCAACTCGTGTCTAAACGCGACGTGAATATCTAGGCCGACTCGGTCCGCGTCAAGTTCGAACTCCAGAATGCCGACATCTCGTTCGCCAACTCGCTGCGCCGCGTCATGCTGGCCGAGATCCCAACCATCGCCATCGACTTGGTCGAGATTGAAAGCAACAGCTCGGTTCTTGCTGACGAATTCATCGCCCACCGTCTTGGTCTTATCCCACTCAACGCCGAGGGTGTCGAGCACCTCCTCTATTCCCGCGACTGCGACTGCGAAGAGTACTGCGAAAACTGCAGCGTGAAGCTCACGCTCCATGCCAAGTGCACTGGCTACGAGAACATGTCGGTATCCGCGCGCGATTTGGTACCTGTTGGCGAGCGCATAAATCAATCTCTGGGCACGCCAGTTATTAACGACAAGGACGGCACCGGGCCGCTCATTCTCAAGCTGCGCCCCGAGCAGGAGATCAAGCTCGAGTGTATCGCGAAGAAGGGCATTGCGAAGGAGCATGCGAAGTGGGCACCAAGCGCAGCCATCGGGTTTGAATATGACCCCCACAACAAGCTCCGCCATCTTGACCTTTGGTATGAGAAGGATCCCAAGTCGGAATGGTAAGTTTGCTCTATGTTGATCTTTGGTCGCAAAGCAGCCACTCACACTCTGTCACAGGCCTCCTAGCGAGTATGCCAAGTGGGAAGAGCCACCAGTGGAAGGCGAGCCTTTCGACTTTGACGCCGTCCCCAACCACTTTTACTACAACGTCGAGACAGCCGGTAACCTGCCACCAGACGGAATCGTCACCGAGGGCATCAAGGTCATCCAGCAAAAGCTCGCTGGTCTGATTCACGAGTTGACTGAAGGGGAGGGTGAAGGTGGCTACGACGGACCCCGCAGCCCAGATTACAACAGCGGTCCTGACACCGGCTATGGGTACTCGACATCCTACGGCGGAAATGGCGGGAACCAGAGCGCCTGGGGTGGCGGCGGCGGAACCACTCCATTCGGCGGGCAGACTTCCTATGGCGGTGGCGGTTGGTCTTGAATGAGGCAGCAAGAAAGGATCAGACTTGGTAAATCGGGTCTGGTGGGAGTCATGACGTTGGAAACAGCTCAATACGACGCCAAAATTATCGCCTCACCGGTAACGACAGAGCCGGGCTTTATGGCAGCGCGTTGCCGGCCTTTCCATCTTCTTCACCAGCTTCTTGTTATTGTGTACAATACTATACCCAGCACACGCACATCATTCATCATTCATCACACAGCAATCCGAACTCACTGCTCATCACCCGAATCACCGCATCAATACCCTTGCCGAGCCCCTTTACTACTCATCCATTCTCATAACATTGCGAGGGCTTTTTTGCTGCTCTTGGAGGACCAAAAACTGGATATGAGGTTTTTGATGATGAAGAAGAGGGGGTTATTTTGCTGCTATCTGCTGAGCGTGTAGAGTATTTCATCAGCCGGAGTTTTGGGGGGTTGGGCCGGAAAGGAAGGGGGGGAGGCTCATTACAGGTTTCTTGGGGGAAAGAGAGAGAGAGAGAGAGCGACTCAATAAAGAAAAGTCAGTTTTCATTGGGGGGTATCTCAACCCAAACCCAAAATCAGCGTCCCTTGTTACTTGTACATAGATATAATTTGTATCAAAAGGCTTCATCTTTGAGGTAAATAAAATAAAATAAAAAGATAACCAACAACATGTGTGTGTTTGCACAGACCCTCTTTTTGTGTACAAGAATACCAACTGACAAAAAGACAGAACGCCGCACCCTTCCCTGCCTGGCCGAAAAACAAATGCCTACCCCCTCTCTTGCCATGGTATACGAGAGAAAAATACAAATACACTGACTGATAAAGATGATGTCCCCCTTTCCCTTCCTCCTCCGCTCTATGGATCGATTCCTGTCTTGTCTTGTCTTGTCTATACGTTCCATGCTCCTCTTTGTTGCTGTGGTGTGCTGTGATACAAAGTATCAAAATCCGCTGTGTTTTCGCTCAAAAATGCAGAAAAAAAATCCAAGCTGCCCTCCTACTCTACGACTTGTTCACAGCAGGCAATTCCTCCTCCTCCAACCCCTTAACCCGTCTATAAAACTTGCGATGAGATTCCAAAAACAAAAACGTGCAAATCGTTTGTCTGTTTCCCTCGTCAGTACATCATTCGAAAGGAAAGGAAAAGAAACAAACTTACGGCCCCAACCTCAAAAAACTCGGCACCCACCCCCTAAACATCCACCCCATCCCCTCCTTTGCATAAATCTCCCCCAGCAGCTGCCCCAGCCCCTGGTTGCCGTGCGCAGACATCACCCTCGTCTTGATCACATCAATCGGGCTCGTCACCGTCGCCGCGACCACGCCAGCAAGAAAGGACGAGCTAAAGTGCGTCGCGAGGTTGTCCTCCATCTTTGCGACCTTGATCAAAGTCCGCTTAAAGATGTCGTAAGACGCCAATTGCGAGGCAGTCATGGCCGCTGCTCGCAGCGAGTTCGGTCCGACACCACGGAAGAGGGCGCCGACGCCTTCTTCCCTGATCATCCGGACCAGACCGTCACCTGCGTGCCGGTAGTTGCGCCGTTTGTGCTCCGGGAGAGAGGCGTCGTGCTGCATGCGGACGTTGAGGACGTCGGCTGCGTTGCCTGCTATTCCACCTATAGTCCCCGAGACGGAGGCCATGGCTATGAGCATGGGTAAGGAGGGCGGTTTGGGTTTTTGGGTTACTGGATCAACGCCGGAGCGGGTGGCGAGTTGGGATTTGAGTTCCTCGTAGATGCCGAAGCGGGTGGTGGAGTAGGTGATTTGGCGGAGGAGGGAGGCGGAGAGGCCCGAGTAGAGGCCTGTGAGGCCGTTGTTGCGGAGGATGTGGAGGAAGGTGCCGGACATGGTGGTGGGCATGGAGCCCGAGCGGGTTTGGAGGCGGACTTTAACTGTCGGGGGGTTAGTATGGGAGGAGATAAAAGGGGGGGTAAGGGGGGTGGTAAACAAACCCAGGTCGAGGGGGTGAGTGACGCAGGCGGCCATGGAGGATGCGCTGCCTCCGAACCAGAAGGGGTAGTGGATTGGTTTTTGTTTTAGTTGTGGTGAGAGGGACATCTTGTTGGTGGTGTCTCTTTTGCTGGTGGTTTCTGTGCCTGGACCTACTGGTGTAGGTACGCTGCTATTCTTGGCATCCATCTTGTCGTCTCTGTCGCGACGCACTCAAAAAGTAGAAAAGTTGGAGTTGTCGCTATAACAAGAACATCCCGCGGACTGTGTGTGTAAAGCTTTTTCGCCAAAACGTTGCCGAATTAGAATTATGTGTTATGTATTAAACACTAAAAGTGAATAGCTTCAAGCGAATTGAAAGTGAAGCTATACCGGCATCGGCAGCAATGTTTTGCGACTGACTCTGGAAAGATCGGATCGAGGTATGACGAAAGAGTGGTCGTCCCAAGTGAGATTGGCGATAAGAAATGTCACAGCTGCAATCAATTCAACCAACAGTGGGAATTTTTGGTTTATCGAAATTTTCCACTTTTTGTTGGTCCCACTACGTAATCGACAGGGAAATGGCGGGTAGCAGCGGGCGCTGTTGATTATCTTATCTCTCTGCGCTAGCGATATCGGATCGGGCCTGGATCCCTTGTCTTTCCGGGCAAAACAAAAAAAAGTTTGACCGCCTTCGAGTCATAGGAGGGGTCAGACCACTGAGGTGAGGGGAGAGAGAAGAGCTGCAGCTATCTATCTGTGTGTGTGTGTGTGACTGTGACTCCATATTTTTTTTGTTTCCGCTTTCTTCCATTGTTTGGACTTTTGGGCTTCTCTCTCTCTTGCGGAATTCATCTCGAGCATCTTCCTCTTTGTTACTTTGCTACAAATTCAAAATGTCCAAGGGTCGTGTCTGTCTGTAAGTGATATATTTCCTTACAAGTCCTGCCATCCATCTTCCCCGCCAAAAGCTTAACAGTGTGGAAACGCCTGGTGCTGACCCCCGCTTACAGCGCCTACTCTGGAGGTAAGCCATTCGGTTGCCCAATGCCTTCATTTTTGTGTCTCTATGCTTGAGCAGACGCATGACGGGCTCGATTGACCTTCCATGTTCGCAGAGCGGGCAAAGGGCCAATTGCTGTCTCGTTGAGGTGTCCACCGGGAACCTTGTCGGCGTCACTTCGTGCACGGGTGTCGGACGGAAAGGGAAGCTGACAAGTTCGGTTGACAGGTCTCGACACCTCCACCATCCTCAAGTGGCTCATTCTCGAGGTAGGCAGCTCCTAGCTGGTATGATGCCCGCCAAGAAGAGGTGCTGACATGGACAATACAGGGTTACACTGTCGTATGCTTCCTCGCCAATGTTGGCCAGGAGGAGGACTGGGCTGAGGTCGAGAAGAAGGCCCTCGCTCTCGGTGCCGAGCGCATGGTGATTGAGGACCTCCAGCGCGAGTTTGTCGAGGAGATTGTCTTCCGCGCCATCCAGTGCAACGCCATCTATGAGGACCGCTACCTCCTCGGTACCTCCCTCGCCCGGCCCATCATTGCCCGGGCTCAGGTCCGCGTTGCTGAGCAGTACAACTGCGACATCCTCAGCCACGGCTGCACCGGCAAGGGCGTAAGCCAGCTTACTCGAAGATGCCAAGTAACGTTATGCTAATTCCGAGGTCTAGAATGACCAGGTCCGCTTCGAGCTTGCCTTCAAGGCTTGCAACCCCAAGATGAAGGTCATCGCCCCCTGGAGAATGCCCGAGTTCATCGAGAAGTTCCAGGGCCGTGCCGATCTCCTCAAGTTCGCCGCCGAGAACAACATTCCCGTCTCCTCCAGCCCCAAGGCTCCCTGGTCCATGGATGACAACCTCGTGCACTGCTCGTACGAGGCTGGTGTCCTTGAGGACCCCGACCACTCTCCCCCCAAGGAGCTCTGGACCCGCACCGTCGACCCTACCGACGCTCCCGATGTTCCCTACAACTTCACCATCCACTTCGAGAAGGGTATCCCCACCAAGGTTGTCACCCCCGAGGGTGAGGTTACCGACTCGGTTGCTCTGTTCAAGCTTCTGAACAAGATTGGCCACGACAACGGTGTTGGCAGAATCGATATTGTTGAGAACCGTTTCATCGGTCTCAAGAGCAGAGGCTGCTACGACACCCCCGGTCTTACCATTGCGTATGTTTCTGCAAAACCCGATTGAGACACGATCATGTACTGACAATATTCTAGCCGCCTTGCTCACTTGGATCTTGAGGGTCTTGTCATGGACGCCAAGGTTCGCAAGCTCCGTGACCAGTTCGTCACGATTGAGTGGTCTCACTGCCTCTACAACGGCATGTACTTCTCTCCCGAGCGTGAGTTCCTTGAGAACTCCCTCGTCTACTCCCAGGAGAACGTTACTGGTGAGGTCCGCATGTCGGTTTACAAGGGCGCTGCCTACGTCCTTGGCCGCAAGTCGGATGCCAGCAACCTCTACTCGCAGGAGGATGCTTCTATGGACTCTCTTGAGGGCTTCTCCCCCATGGACACCTCTGGCTTCATTGCCATCCAGGCCATCCGCCTGGAGAAGTACGGCCTCCAGAAGATCAAGGATGGCAAGCCCCTTACCAAGTAAATTGTTGAGGGCAGTGCAAAGTAAATAATAAAACAAAGAGATTCCCCGTCTAGCTTTTTGTTCGTGTTACTTGTGAAGACTAGATAAATTCCATGTCGAGCTGGGAACCTTCGAGGCCGTCATGAGAGGAATTGGCCAATCAGAAGTTCCCCACAGAACGTTTCTAGAAAGATGTCATCGTGCATCGAGGACCCCTGTTTTGTGGAGCCCGGGCCACCGTCTCTCGGCGCGCGCCTCGAACGATCTCCAATTTTTGAGCTTGATACTGCCGTGGCGCCCAAGCTTCAAGCTGAGCTGTTGTAGCGAGAGGTCTCCCACCCCACCACAACTTGACATCGCCAGCATGATCGGACCTCGAGGAATGGCCTGCGCCGGCGGGCTTCTGGCGAGGGTCGGCAGTCGGTCGGTGATTTCGAGAGCGGTACGACAGAGCAGTCCGTTGCGGCCATTACCAGCGACAGTGACGGCGCCAGCAGCGAGGTGGTGGAGGGCACAGTACTCGACCAGGCCAGGTTAGACAGCCAATACAGTTTACTTCTTGACCTTTATAAACCGCGAATAACCACTGATATGTTCGCTGTGAAAAATAGAACTCCCCAAAGAAGTAACCATAACCTCCAAAACTTACCCCGTCGACGCCGAATGGTTCAACGTCTCGTCCACGATCCTCAACCTCACCTCCCGGAAGCTGCACCTCCAAAAAGACCACCCCGTGTCCATCACCCGCCAAATCATCGAATCCGTGTTCCCCTCCCCCACCTACCTCAGCTACAACAACCTCGACCCTGTGGTTACGACCCACGAGAATTTTGACTCGTTGGGGTTTCCGCCCAACCACCCCGGCAGAGCAAAAACCGACACTTATTACATCAACTCTACCACCTTGCTACGGACGCACACGTCGGCCCACGAGGCGGAGTTATTCGCCGCGTCGAAATCCCCGGGATACCTCATCTCGGCTGATGTCTACAGAAGAGACGAAATCGACAAGTCCCACTACCCCGTCTTTCACCAGATGGAAGGCGCCCGGGTCTGGGACCGCAACACGGTCCCGAACGGTGACATCGTGGCGGCTGTACACAGAGATTTGGACGCCCTACCGAAACATGAAATGATCATCGAGGACCCCAACCCCCCTTTTCACCCGGAGCGTAACCCCTTACAGCCATCCCACACCCCTGAGGAGGCAGAGGCGGTGGGGAAGCATCTGAAGCGATCTCTGGAATTGATGGTGGCGGAGATTTTTAAACGGGTGAAGGAGTCTCACGCCCGGGCGGGGGTGAAAGAGCAGGATGGGGAGCCGTTGAAGGTTAGATGGGTGGAGGCTTACTTTCCTTTCACGAGCCCCAGTTGGGAGATGGAGGTTTGGTATCAGGGGGGTTGGCTGGAGGTTTTGGGGTGTGGGGTGAGTCAACAACACATCCTTAACGACGCGGGTGTTCCCAATCAAATAGGCTGGGCTTTTGGCTTGGGGCTGGAGAGGATTGCAATGTTGCTTTTTCAGATACCTGATATCAGGTTGTTTTGGTCGCAGGACGAGAGGTTTTTGGGGCAGTTTAGAGGGGTGGAGGGGGATTTGGGGAAACTGAGGCCGTTTGTGGGGTTTAGTAGGCATCCGGCTTGTTACAAGGATGTCAGCTTTTGGTTGCCGGCTGGGAGCACGGGGGCTGCGGCGGCGGGGGGGAAGGGGAGGGAGGGCGAGGAGTGGCATGAGAATGATTTGATGGAGGTGGTGAGAGATGTTTGCGGGGATGTGGTGGAGGATGTGGTCTTGATGGATAGCTTTACGCATCCCAAGACGGGGAGGAGGAGTTTTTGCTATAGGGTGAATTATCGGAGCTTGGAGAGGACGTTGACGAATGAGGAGGCGAATGGGTTGCATGAGAGGGTGAAGGGGGAGATGGTGGGGAGGTTGGGGGTTGAGATTAGGTGATTCTGTATCAACATGAGGAGATGTTTCAAGAAGGAGAGAATAGCGAGGGTTTGGTGGCGTTTTGAGACGAGTGGTTATGGTTATATAGACATCACTAAAACAACAAGGGAGGGATGATGGTGTTTGGGGGAATCTTGGCATGTCTACAACTATTGTCTCTGGTCATGATCATCACCAAACACCAGTGAGGAGGGGGTTCTGGTGTGGTGGTGTTGATTTCAGGAGAGTGTCTGTGTGGGCTTGATGCTGCTCAGCCACCCGGACGCTCGGATACCGGTCTGCAAAACATGCGGGGGAGAAAAAGGGTGCATACATGCAACCATGGTGTTACCTATACCATCTCCTACTCAAATGCATGTACGTATATATGATATGAAAAATATCTAGTAGAAAACTAGAAACCGGACGATGTAGATCCGGAAAAGACATACCACCTGACGATGCAGCGGTGGTGAGAGAGCATGGCCCTGTGTTGTGCGTGTAAGTCCAGTTCCCTATCTGGGCAGTGCAAAAAAAGTGGAGACCTGTTTCCAGGAGATCGGGTTGAGTTGGCTGTTTTATTATCTCGGCATCACCTGCCTTTGGGGAGGATATGGTGATGCTGAGGGATGGTGGTATTTTTCACCTTGGACTGCGGTAAAGGTGAGGTGGTGGTTCATGAGTTCACCTGTCTAGCCCGAGTTGGGAATGGTCATGATGACGACCAAATGAGTTGTCAAAATGTTCCTACAGAATCTAGAAGGGCTGGAAAATACACGTGGAAGTCTGGCCAGCTGCGCCTTCGGTCTGCATTTGCTGGCTGATGATCGATGATCGGCGCATGGAGAGCCTCTTACGCAAGTCTTGGGTGATGGACTGCTGGCAGTGTGAGTGTGTGCGGTAAGCTTTATGAACCGACACGACAGAGTCGCGGATTAGGTTTGGCATAAGAGCTGGGATATGGCTAGCTTTGTGCCTGGCTTCCTTCCTGGGCATCTCGTACAGTAGGGATGAACACACAGCTCGTGTCAGCGATGTTTGTTGTTGTATGGGAGGTATGATCCCGGCAAACAGAACAGGAAAGTAAGTCTAGCCTTGGCGTGGCTGTTTATTGTCCCATTTCTCGCATGTTTATCGGTGGTGGATATGGTGAAGAGTCATGGCAGTGAAGACGGTGTAAAAGACTCTAGACATTTGTCGATACTGATGAGGTGGCGTGAGCCGGGCTGAGCATGTCCTCCTGGACAACCTTGGCTCACCAGATGGAAAAGACGCCGTGTGTTGGTGTTTTTTGTTGTCTAGGGAGGCAGTGATGGTGGTGAGTGAGGATTCTGGAACCGCCTCGAGAATCAGACACTACGGGATCGGGAAATGCGATCTGGATGGGCGGACGTCCCGATGGGCCCGAAACCTGCCAGAGTTGCCAGAAGATCCAGGAGGAGGTGTCTGTGGTCCTGTTGTGCCCATGTGCCGTCGTGGCTGTGCAAACCTCACTCAACAGAGAGAAGAGAGAAGCTGGACGGCGAGTGGCAAGGAAAAGACTGGCAGAGATTTCGGGTTCCAGGATGTGTTGACTGCATTTACACAGCCAATTAAGCGGCAACTGGGATTGCCATTCATGAGAAAGAGGCTTCGCATCGTGGGTTCAATAGTAGCGAGAGGCAACATGCCCAAGTGTGCGCGCGACAGGGTCCAAAGCCACTGCGTGTTGCGTACGGAGGCCCGGCGGGCTTGTGGGATTCCCTCGGGCGGGTCGCTGCTGGTCCCAATCTCCAGTTTGGCGGCTGAGCCATCCAACCGGGGGGGCTTCTGACGAGCGGCGGCATTGTTGCTCCCCAGACACGCCAGCCCAGGGCCCGTGATCTCCTTCCGGTCTGTCTTTGTTTCACCGCATCTACACAGCAAAAGAGGAATATAAATCCACGGCGCCACCCTCCTGCCGCTTTCGTCGCTCAATCTCCCATCTGCATCCAATCTGCATCCCAATCTGCATCCCAATCTGCATCCAATCTCTACATCAACAGCTTGCCACTCCACAGCTACAGTAACACCGACCTGCTACTTACATCACCTACCTCTTGCGGTGCATAATAAGCCCTCGGGTTCGCAACTAAACTTCCGCCCCCGCACCTCACTTACTTGATCTCAAACAACCAAGACTTCACCCCCAAACAAACAACTACACGATACCACACAAATCAAAATGCCTTCGATTCAGATACCCACCGCCATGCCCTCCTCTCCAGACGGACTCCTCCCCTCTCCCAGCAGCATGTCCAGCTCCCCACGATCTGGCCGCTCTCGGGGCGCCTCTCTCAACCTCAAGCTCGACCTCTCCAACCTCCCACCGCTGGAGAAGCCAACAACACCCACCAACACCCTCCTCATCACCGACCTCGACCCCGACTGCTTCCGTCCCGAGAACCTCGCCGTCATCAGAGACGCCCTCAACAAAACCGCCCCAGTCCGCCACTTCTCCCCACTAAAATTCGCCGCCCGCATCCAGGTCGTCTTCTCGACCGAGCAAGAAGCCATCGCCGTCCGTCGGGAATGGGACGAGAGGGAAGTCATGGGTCGCCCTTGCCGCGTCTGCTTCGGCATGCAAATCAACCTCGAGACCATCAACAACAAGGAGGACCAGCACCTCGCCTTGCCCGACGCCGGGAGGCTGTTTTTCATTTCTCCTCCCCCATCGCCTCCCCACGGCTGGGAGTCCCGGACAGAGGACGCGCCTAATACCATGGTCCACGCGGAGGACTTGGCGGATGCGCTGGCCAAGCTGAGGCATTCGAATGATCCCAATAGCGGGATGAATATTAACCAGAGGGGGGATGTCAGTCCCGTCAGCCCTACTACGCAAGGGGGAGGTCAGAGGACGAAGAGGAGCAGGAGCTCGACCTTGATCTTCCAGCCGCAGCCTGTGATTGGGATGGGAGGGGAGAGCCCGAACTTGCCGTGTGTGACGGTGGATGACATGACGGATGAGGGGCTGGAGGATGATGCGGATGTTATGGACATCAGCCCGGTCAATATCACGGCGCCAAGGCCGATCATGGCGCACACGGCCAGGCCACCGGTCGAGTTGATGGAGCATTGATTTAGCGACTGATTTGATTCTCACGAACAAGGGCGTTTCTGGGGGAAAACAGGCTTGGCTGGCTGGCGTTAGGGACTTGCATGCATATCCTCCACAGTATCACATTACGGGAGCAGCATTGTTTTGGAGCATTTTGCGCAAAAGAGAGTAGAGGGGGGTGGTCTTTTGTGGGTGGTTTTATTTCTTTTTCTCTCTCTCTCTCTCACACAGGTCTCTGGCGGGAGAGAGATTGTGTATTGGCATGAGGACAGGATACTAGTAGAAGTAATTGTTCATACTTTCGCACTCTGTCTGATATCTCCTTTGCATGTGCGCATTGTACGTAGTATGTGTAACAAGTAACCCTTATATTGCACATGTGTTTCACCAAGACGATGTCTTGAGCGTTCCTGTCTCTTTTGTCCCAGGGCAACCAATGGCTCCGAATATCAGCGGTTCCGTTCAGACTCGGGTTTCTCCCAGCCTTACACCGCCCCCCTCCTCCCCCGTTTTGTCCTTCCTTCTCACCGTGTCACCATCCTCACCACACCTCTGCAGACCATCCGCGTGCTCAACCACCCCAACCAACCCACCGCCGTGAGCAACAAGACAGCAGCCATCAAATTCCTCCACTCCGTCCACCGGTTCCCAAACCTGTCTTTTTTTTGTTTTTGTGTCTCCTCCTCACCCTTCTCAGTCAAGTGAAGCTGCCTCCAGCTAGGCACAAACCTAAACTCGAACCCTGCCTCCCTCCCGCCCGCCTCCCGGACGGTAACCTCCCTCAGCACCCTTTTCAGTCTCTCCACCTGCCCCTCCTCCCATTTTCTGGGCAAGAGATATTTTTTGAAATAGGAAACCGCCATGAAATACCCGCACTGCCCGCCCACAAGAACGAGATACCACCATTTCGGCCTCTCGATCCCGAGCTTTTGTGATAAAGCAGGTCCGTTGAGCCAGTACCCTTCTGCTCGGAGGAAGGCCCTGCTAGCGTATGTTGGGGGGGTTAGAGCGAGAGAGGCGATCATGTTTTCCGCCAGCTGTTTCGACACTCCCGACGGGCAGATCTCGGAGACGATCAGGCTTTCCAACCAGACCTTTGCCGTGGTGACGTTTTCAAACGGGGCGGTCGGGGTGCCTAAGAGGTAGGCTACATACCGCCATAGGGCGAGGTAATCCTCCTTTTCTTGATCGGACAACCATATCCCCTGTCGAGGGAATCCGATAAAAAGCAGCATGGTGCTGAAGGCTGTTATTGTCCCTATGGAATCGAGGTCGTTGCAGGGGATGCCGTTTTCTTGAACGTTGAACCAGTCTGGTTTTGAGCTGGATAGGGATAAAATCTTGCGGCGGACGGTGGCGTGGAGGAGGCGGACTTTTACGGAGGAGACGAAGCCGCGGCCGGTGGGGGGGTGGAGGGCGGAGGGGGAGGAGGTGATGTCGAGGACGTGCTGGAAGGTTTCGAGGAGGCGGCGGCGGGCGAAGCGGGGGGTGAAGCCGCCTGTTAGGGAGAGGGTGGCGGCTATTCGGGGGGAGCCGAAGCCGCCGAGGAGGGCTTGGAAGGTGAGGCCTACTATTGAGGGGCCGAGGTAGCGGTAGAAGATTTGCTGGCCGGAGGTGATTTGGGGAGGGGAGACCCAGGGGGGGGTGGTGGTGAGTTGGGACCAGAGAGGGGATAAGACTGGGTCGTGGGGGGCGTGGGTTTGGAGGAGGGAGAAGAGGTGTTGGGCGTGGGAGGAGGGGCATGAGGACGGGCTTGAGGTTGAGGGTGGTGGTGAGTCTGAGTATGGAGGTGATGATGTCTTGGACTGAGACTCGGCAGCTATCTCGTCCAGGCGGTCGAGGGCCTTGGAGGCAAGCTCGTCGTAGGTGTAGATCAGGGGCTTGAGCTGCTCTGCCGTGTAGTGCTCCGACGTCCACTCGAACTCATAGTCCCAGCGTTCACACG